TTGAACCCGAAAAACAATCTGCTTTACATAAAGAATGTTTTCAATTTTAGAAAGTATGTAAAATATGCACTCCATTAAAAACATGCATTTACCCAAAGTTTGCTTACTGTTCAAGTATTACATACACGATGGTACATGAAAATTATATCATTTGTGGTAAAAACAATCAGTTTGGAATTATTTTTAATTTGTATTTAAATTTTATTCAGATAAGGATACGCTTTGTTCCCGTTTCAATAGTAACCCAATATTTTCCGTGGCTTGCTCGCAAAAGTCCCAGAAATAAACGTTGCCACAATAAGAACATTCTTGTTGTGCGACGTGGGTTTGAGTCGTGCAATCTTGTATTTAAATAAGGTTCCTTAAGCGCGCTATCTAAGAATTGAGATTTACGTTTAATTATTAATATTTGTGTTTATTTCTCGAAGGATGTTTGTTCTATAAATGTCGCTTGGAGGGACGGAAATCAATCTCGTACTTGGCGATTCTTGAATATACTTCAAAACATGAACAGCGGTTTTATGTCTGGTGGAGGCGGATGCCTTCCAACCTTACCTCAGCAGGTACGAGTGTTGTATTAACTTCATTATTCCAATTAAAGTTCCAAGGGTGGCAAGATGATGGAAACGCTGCGACAAATTACAGTGTACATTTTTAAAGCCAAATAAAAATTTTATCAATTAAATTATATTGGTGAAATACGATATAGCATCAGCATATATTCAATAAATAAATAAGTACTAAAATTTAAACTTTTTCAGACAAATCAGTCAAAAAAAAAGATGACGTCGTTGCTGGTGCAGTGAGGATAGCTTATTGTATTTTCCTCATAATTATTTGTTTTAAAATATGTTTAACTTGAAATAAAAGTAATAGACATCCGACGTGTTACACTGATTCACAAATTGATCTGCAGTAATTAGGAAATTACTAAAGACTACGTACGTAAATATATATAATGTGAAATTAGTGACGATCTATTATGTTTGGTTTGACGTTCTAGAGTCTAGACAGTGTTATCGGTTGTCGAATTTGAAGCATATCAATCAATTGTAGATCAAACAACATGCTCGATATTCCATCAACACAAGAGCTCGTAGCGCGTGTATCATAAGTTATATTAAATTTTAATACAATCATAAAATAACAAAATCATAATATAAATTGGTAAATGAAAAAATTAATAGATAAGATACATTTGCTAGATTTTATTTTAAACAACATATTAATATTTCATTCAGACATCACCTCCTGGTGGACCTATAACCGGATTCGTCGGCTTTGAAGAGGTATTGTCTTTAAATACAGTAAACAATATAAAATTGATCAGAAGGACAACGTAAGCCAGGATTCGGATTTCAAGTTCGAAGGGAATTTTAGAGATTTTTCACATTGACAGCTGTATCAAACAATAAAAATATGTTGATTGCAAAACCTTCTTGTCGTTTTTGGTAGAATGTTGTTCCTCTATCAATTTCGTGTGTTTTAAAATAAATTGAAGCATGTTGAATTATTTTCGAAAAAATACTCGACCCAACATACTCGTTGAAAGGTAGTATTTTCATTGATATTCTGAAGTGTTTTATGCTAAAGGTTATCTTAGCACGCCATAGTGGCTGATTTACATCTTGTAAAGATATTTCCGGCTGTACCAGTGCTGATAAAAATCTTTCAGACTTAGTTCTGGCACCTGAGGCGAGCTAACTATGAGCAACGTCTGATGCAACACGCTACTTCCATTTCTGAATTGATAAGTTGAGTAAATATATTTAATAGATAATCAATCGTACTAATTATTTTAATTCAATAACAATATTACCCGGGATTGGTATTCCAATTAGCTAAAATAGAAAACTGTAGTTATATATAAATAGGCTCGAATACTTTCAAAAGCTGGGAAAAGTTGTCAAGGAAATAGCGAAAATTTTTCTGATAAAATATGAATATTCAGAATATTTACTAATACTTTAAATTAGGTTTAAACATACGACATAGGAGAACTACAAAGGCAAAAGCTAGTTGGGACAGTTTTTCTTGTGAGTTTTCGCCGACTCTGCAACTGTTGGTTAATTTAGTATTTTCGGACAATGGCTGAAGGGAGAACCATGTACATGCCCAAGAATTTCGAAAATTGAGGTCTTACAGACATGTGAAATTCTTCAACGGTTTTGCGTATTTTTGCTGACGGTCGGAATGACCATCAATTTTCTTTTTGAATTTCCATCAAAATCATACGTAGTGTGTGAAAGTACTTAGATAAATAATACGAAAGTGTTCACGAAGTGGACACAAACCCTTCAAGGGAGATCAAACAAACTACTGATTACAAATTACTGTTTGAAGTCAATCCAGTAGCACTTTAATTGACCCTCAAAGTGATACGAATACATTAGCAGCGAGGTGCAAACGTGGATTAAACTCAGTTCTAACCTTTAATCATTTTTGAAGCAATGATAGTAATGATCCAAAGTCTCTCACATTACTACACGCGCTTCGGATTACAAGACCTTCATTGGGTCCATATAATTTTGGCATACATGCCTTGCGAACAGTTATCACGCAGGAATGAAAAGAAACAAAACTAAAAAAAGGACAGTTCTGATTGGACAAACCTTCATTCGATTCCAAGGCTTAGGAATATTCAACTCGTATAAATATAAGTGTTGTTCAAATCATATTTAAAAAATACACCTTGAAAAACATTTAATAAAGTACTGTAGTGTCGTAATGTGGAAACAATGCGGTTATTGAAATATGGCGTTATCTATTGAAACATGTGGGATGGTTCTGTGCGAGAGGATTGCTGGACTCCTCGCCGCCGTAGGGTGGTTCACGTAACCGCTGGACGGTTACGGCTTCCTCCACCATAAAGTCTATGCTTTCAATAACAATTAACTGGCCAACTAATTCCATACCCGACATGAACTGACGAGAGGCCGTGGTTCGCATGATGATTAAGTCGTCTTATTGGCTTCCTTATCCCCCAGGATAAATAGGTAAATCTTGTCAAATTTTATTAATGCCGTTATTGCTTCTTCGATTAGTTACAAAATTATCCAAGTCTTTATTTAATAAATAATAAATAAACGAATAGCTCGCGGAGCCCTGAGGTTAAACATTTACTAATTATGACATAACAATACAATAAATCAGTTTCAATCTTAATGAACTAGTAAAGTGAGTCGAGAATCAGAAATAAATGTACTGCTTCCATTAATTAACAATACAAAAATTTAACATTGAGTAAAAAAAAATTTTATGATCCCCGCACTGCATGACCATGAAATTTACGTCTTCCAGGTGGGATCCCGACAGAACTTAAATCAGGGTTCAAAATTAGGGTTGTTCTTGCTGAACTGGGCTTACCTATACGGAAAATGTTTTGTCTGGTCAAGTTTTTTGCTGCAAAATTTTAGTAGTCATGCTTAAATGGAAAAATACATAAAGATACTATACCGATACTGAATCGAGACTACTACTTGGTCTGGAAATTTCAGTGTACATTTTAGGTGCGTTTAACCAGCATTCATCTCGGATGAATTGCATAAATAAGACAACACTTTTTTAATTTCCGTATTCTTCCATATGAAAAATTTCTAGTGATATTGAAGCATTTGGTTCGGATATATGAACTTTCCTTCGTTCCTTCGTATCTTTGTTTAAATTACCGATGAATCAAAATAATATAATATATAGTTCTTCTGCTGCCCAGGCATTCTTCTACAAAACAGGTGAAACCTACTGCTGAGGTACTCCAGTTAAATCATGTTGGAAATCACATTAAACATATATATGTGACATAGGTGACCGTACATTTGAACCCATGTGTATATCCGCGGGTGCTAAAACCCATGGGTTAGGGTTAGTATGGGTTCAAATATCCGTAAAACAAAAACAAAATTCCATAGTTGCAATAGTATGCAGGTGCAATTGTCGTTGGTTCAAATGTACGTGGGTTCAAATGTAATGGAACCATATTGACATAACCTTTATCATATTTCCAATAGATCTGGAGTAGTGCTTCGAGCCGAAGCCACTTCAAAAATATATTGATTTGCTTCATTATTGCGACAGAATGCGCACTATTAACGTTCAATAACCATTCTTGAATTGCTGCCGTGTAATTATAAGTAATTCGTGGGCAACATATTCTGACTTTCTACAGTCCATTTGTTATTCGCGTTATTTTTTTATTTAATTTGGCGATTACCGATTCAGTTAGTGATCTATTTGAGGCAATCTGAAAATCTAAATATAATATACCCGCAAAAACGACAAACATTATCTAATTCCCCGTATAGAAGAGAAGATGAAAGAAATAGAAATAATCAATTTCCACCGCGCAGAAGTATTTTTTATAATTAGATTATATTCTGTGTCAAAACTTTGTACGACTGAATCTATAACATTTGAGGATTCAATGTCCATTGCGTGTGGTGTTCAGCTCAGGTTGCCGGGTTTACCCGAATCATGAGTCAAGCCATTTTTTGTTTCACATTCAGCAATCACACTTGTGGCCTATTTATTACGTATCCTGACATATCTTTTGTATAAGTTTTGCATCAAATATGGATAAAATTCTGAAGGAAAAAAAGAGAATTTTCGACGCAATATCTATCCACGTAGTATTGTCTGTTTTTAAAGCTTCGCTATCTTATACCATTTTTGTCCGCTCAGCAATGTTGTAAACTTGCTGTCGGCACATACGGACGTAGACGTCATCTAAACTTTTTGCAGCATGAAATAAAATTTTATGAAACTTTCCGCGTCAAGTCAAACCATCCTCTGTTACGCATTTCCATGTGTTTTCTTGTTCAAAACGAAAATATGAAAAACCCTATACAGAATATTGAAATTTTACTTTGAGTGGAATATTTTATCTGATGCATAAAAAATTTAGCATGCGTAACTAGAATAAAAGATTCTGTTAGAAAATTGCGCCTATCAACTTGCGTTTTCTGTTGTTTAATGTTATAGTCCCAACTCTGATGAAAACTTGAGCATTAACCAATGTGATCAACTCCCTATTTGGATAACACATCTGTATTCCTTACTTGATCAGTCGGAAGTGATCTAGTTTAGTATTTACCCGATTGTGTTCAGCAGTCTCATAGACCATCTTGGGATGCGGAATGTATTTAGTAATAAATGTAAAACGTAGCTGGACGAGTTGAAGCTAAATCCATTCTTTGAAAAATCTAGAAAATTCACACAATTTTGTGCTTGAAATAAGTAAGAACAATGGAGATCATTAAAGTAATTGGAGTTGTCTGTCTAATCGGAGGTGGGTTAATGTTTCCTTTTACTGATTTTTGTCTTATGGCTTGTGAGAACTACTTGATTTGGTTTTGAATTATACGTTTTTCAATATTCAAGTATATTTTGGTTAATTTCAACTCGAGTAACTATAGTGCACGAATCGATTTATATGAAAGTGATTCAACTCATATCCAAATGACAGATAGAACTCGAAGTGACTAAATCCTGGAATCTACTGAAAATAAATTTTACTCAATTTTAAAAACTTCACACATCAAAATGTGTTTGGTTTCGCCCATTTAGGTTATCAGTGTGGGGTTGTAGAGTAGAAGAATTTCTCCTAATCAAGCTCGTCTAAAATTAAAAAATATTAAATTTGAGACTCGTACTCATCGACTTTGGCTCATCTATTGTACCATGTAAATTGAACTGTTTCGTGTATAACGTTATCTACTGATATCTTTGTTAGAAGAAAGAAAATTAATAAATCTTTTTGCATTATAGTGCCAATACTAGGTTTAAATATAAGTTCGGGGCCACGTTTTGAGTGAGAGCGATGCTCAAATATATGGACACGATTTAGTTTACCGTACCTACCGTGTGCTACCGGTATCAAATAATCTCCGACTTCCGCGTCACACGATTTCGCAAAATTAAACTGGAAGACAACCGTCACGCTTGGTTGGTCAAAAACCGTGTCCCCATGAATGAAAATAATACAGCGAGATTTTGGATGAAGTATTAAATTTCATAGAAAATTTAGGAAATAAATGAAAAGTAATAGCCCTCAAGCGTCAACAACAATTTATTCTTTATTCTGAAAATTTTAAAGCAATTGGTCCAGTAGTTAGGGAGGACAACAAGAAGAAGACATAACAACATAAAAAAAACGATCCACAGGTCCATTTCGTGTCCAATAAAAAAAATTAATAGGTCGATATACGTTTATTTAGTTGCCAGGTGTGCAAATCCATGGATTGAATTTGGGTCATGGACCTTGGACTTGGTAAACGACCTCGGTAAGACAATATTTGGGTTCGAATGCAGTAGATGCAAGACAGGTATGACTTTTTTGATATTCTCTAGTTGAATTTCAATTTTATTCAGAGAAGATGAAAGAAAAAAAAACAGTTAAATTTAATCCGAACTACGCTTACTAGGTCAGGTCATTTATGAGAATGGTTGGCCAACTCGATTTGTTCCATATGCGTAGTTTTGGATTGAAGATTTTCGCAATTTGACCGCTTTGTGTCGATTAATATTATGAGATTAATTCAAGAATCGCGGCACATAATAATTTTGAAAGAAATCTGAAAAATACAACGGTGGCGGCATGGGCGATATATATTTAAATCTCGATGACATAGCACGATGTGATAGTTTAAAACTATTGCTGGTGCGACTCGTATTTCCAACGAAATCACCGAACTCTGTCAAGTTTTAATTATTCAATACTTTTGTCTTCACAGAAAACAACAATCCGACTACTCGTTCCGGAGCTACCACACAACCGAATTCCGAGCCAGGGTTCATACAATTGATCCTGATAATTGTGGGTTCCGTTGGAACATTTGTGGTTATAGCGGTTATGATAGGAGTGTGTATTTCTAGTAAAAAGAGGTAGGTTACGTCATATATATTACCAAATGCAAAGCATCCTAAGTTTCGTGGTGAGCATGAGGCTCTAACCTAACCCGATAATTTAATCTACTACGTCAACATAATTTAGCCTAACGAGATTAGCCTTAGCTGACACCCAACGCACTTGACTTTTTTTGATCACTGTTCAATTTTTTCTCAGAAAACCAAGACAGCATGAATTTAGAGAAATGTTCCCTATGCGTTTTTACAACAGGGGTATTACACCGCAAACACTGGGTGATCCTTCTTCAATGCATTTTGATACGGCCGACCCTTCACACATCCCACTACCCAATGATTCATACCAGTATCTATCGCCCATACAACACCCACACAGTAGACATCATATGGTTAACATACCAGGCGAGTTTACGACTACGAGTGTTGCCGCCGCAGAACCGAGTTACATATACCCAGAAACACCGCCTTCTCCAAGAATGAACTTAGATTCTGAACAATATCTGACACCGATAATACGCTCAGGTATGTCAACTCCCCTTAAAACAATGAATAGGAATGACGCGCACGATATGAGCTTGCCTATGTTGCCTCTCGTGTATGATGACATCGGAGAACAAGGTCCTAAATTAACACAGAGGCAAAAAGATAACGAACTCGTAGGTTCTGGTGAGTATTGGGACCGAACTTTCAATCAAATGACAAAAACGCATAGTGGAAACAATTACGAACCCACTATCTCGCCTGAGTATGATGACATAGGCGAAGTAACTTTTGCCTCTACATCAGAGCCAAAAGCGAATGAGCTTGTCGGCTCCAACTCCAATGCGAAAACGCATAGTGGAAACAATTACGAACCCCCTATCCTGTCTGAGTATGATGACATAGGCAAAGTAACTTACGCCTCTACATCAAATCCAAAAGCGAATGAGCTTGTCGGCTCCAACTCCAATGCGAAAACGCATAGTGGAAACAATTACGAACCCCCTATCCTGTCTGAGTATGATGACATAGGCAAAGTAACTTACGCCTCTACATCAAATCCAAAAGCGAATGAGCTTGTCGGCTCCAACTCCAATGCGAAAACGCATAGTGGAAACAGTTACGAACCCCACATCCTGTCTGAGTATGATGACATAGGCAAAGTAGTAACTTACGCCTCTACATCAATGCCAAAAGCGAATGAGCTTGTCGGCTCCAACTCCAATGCGAAAACGCATAGTGGAAACAATTACGAATCCCCTATCCTGTCTGAGTATGATGACATAGGCAAAGTAACTTACGCCTCTATTTACGATCAAAGCCAAAAACGAATGAGCTTGTCGGCTCTAAATGATAACGGTGACTGACGAACTGCTGGGGCTTGTTGTCAAAGAGCAAATATGAAAGACGAAGAGTAAGGTGTGTTTTTATCATGTGAGAGTAATATTTTATAAATTTCATTTATTTGTAAACTTCATATCATAAATAGAGAATGTCGCATGCAGTAGGCTATCTAATTGTTAGTTCAATAAATGTGAACGGAAATAAAGCGCTTCAATTATTTAAAAAGACAAACTGTTCGACAAAGGAAGTTGCAACAATTTGCAATGGACTATCAAATCCTATTAACATTGATTGAAGCATTTTGTTATTTTGTTTGATTTGTGTGTTAATGCGTGTGAAGTGTATGGAAATATATAATAAAATCGTATGGTGAGATTCGGAAGATTTTCTTTGTCGGACAAGATATTTTAAGCATTAAGAATTTCCTAAGATAAGCTAACTTGTCGGACTCTCAACTTCAACAAATCCCAACGCTTGTCGAGTAGAACATGTAAGTAGGACTTGAAACAGAAGTGACGGTGATTTCATTGTCTGCTGATAATTCATCGATAATTTTAAGTCTTAGCAAGTCACCTAGACTCTAGAGCAGGGGTGCACAACACGAGGCACGCGTGCCAAATTTGGCACGCCTTACGCTCAAACGTGGCACGCGAACGGTTTCGTAAAATAAAATTATTTATGATATAGGCTACATTAAAATATCACATTTATATCAAAATCAGCAGTTTTTCAATTTATTAAATTGTTTCAATTAATAGATATTCGTTATTATGTATTATTATTGAAATTTGTTTGATGTGTGTTTTACGGGAGTTCACTTACAAATGTTGTTTCCCGAGCATCGACTTCCTTGTTTACTTCGTGACATTGCCCAATCAGCAAGGTGCAAAAAGTGACGGTCAGACATTTTTGTCGCTCAGACAGATTTTGAGGCCTGTTCCTGAACATTACCTCGTTTTCGCGTTTTTGAATTCTATTCGTTAGTTTTCAGTTGTATTTCAGATATGTAAATATATATAAAATAATTCAATGATCACTTTGTCTTCTTAGGAGTTTCAGTTTAATTGCAGTAATCAAAAATTAGTGTAGATATATATAGCTGTGATAGAATAGGCTAAAATTCTTTATCGGTATTTCAAAAAAAACAAATTGTTGAATGCAATGAATCAGAATGATGGCTTGAAACAAGTATCCCATTTTACAGGCGCCAATTCGCGTAACCATTCTTAAAATAAGCACCGACAATTTTGCAATGGTAAAGTTTAGGAAGAATTTTACGAAGGTCAGAGGTCGGGGAATGGTCCATACCAACGATTGTGTGTGGCACGCGACAAAATTATTTTGAAAAATTTGGCACGTGTCCTCATTTGAGTTGTGCACCCCTGCTCTAGAGTTCCATGCAGCGGAAAACGTCACTCCGTGGGTTGATCTCTTGTTAGCTGAGTGAAAAATTCGAGTACGAAAAGTGTCTTGTTTAACATGTGCAGCATTCTTATTGAAGAAACATTTAGAAAATGCGGGATTCCACTTCATTATTTAGAAGCGCATATAACTTGGGGGAATTTGAATTAAATGAAGAATGGCAGTTGTTTAGGACTTCAATAATTACTTTAAAAATTTCCGGATCTGAATATACTCGGAGAAGAATAGCATAATGTGATTTAAGCCGGTAACGCATTAAGGAATAAACACCAATGCGAAACTGTCTTCGATCTCCGAGACAGAGGCATCGGCAAAAAAGATCAATACAGAATTATATTGAAGATGAATGAAACTAAATCTAATTTTTGTATTAATAGACTAACTACTTTATGACGATGTTAAGTAAACAACTGATACGAATGGGACAATGTGATACAAGGATGAAACGACTGGAACGGTAGGGACAAGTGGTGATACGAATGTATGAAGCGATTTCAATATTCGGTGGTAGACAGTTTTACAAATCAAGCATTGAGTCCCTAAAGTATGGATGATATTTGGATTTCTGATTACGAATCTAATTCAATGCTGGTTTGAAAGCCATTAAAAAAAAGGTCATTTGCATCTTTGTGCATCTGGCAATATGTAGCCCTATATTCTGTATTATGTAAGTTGAACATCGCAAAAAAATAAGAAATATTGTAATTTACAAAGAAATGCAGTTGTAGACGGTATAATCTTCTTTTAATCTTATTTACTCTCAATAATAAGCAAATCCAACGCAATAAATCAAAATAAATTGTTTTGAAACTTTATTCCGTTATGAGTGTGTCGCCACTTTGTATTAATTTTTAGCGCGTCACAGACTGGAAAATTTTGAGATTATTCTTTAGTTGGTCTCATAAAATCCCATTATCGATACACTCCACTTTAAAAATTGAGAATCTTTTTAAAATTTTAGCATTTGGGCATCATAGCGCTATATGAATGTTGTATGCAAGCAAATAACATCCATCTGTTGTACGACTGACGACTGTTTGAATTTATTGATAGTTAAATTACTATGTCATAAATACAGATTCACATGGAATTATACACCGAACGTTTTCAAAATATTTTCGCGATCGCGAGTCGGCCTAGTAAAATTACTTATTTTCCAACTTTCCCTCTGTCTGGATGGAGCCTTGTACAATGTGAAGCGGAAAAACAGCCATAGATTTAACAATATTGAGAGCCCACATAAATTATTCACATGATATGTTCACAGCCGAAGGTACGTCTTCAGAGGTCTTAATATAAGGCGTAATAGATATAACAATAGCGAGGAGCCCAGCAACCTCTCGCTTAAATTATCTATCGTATCTAAGCTGTGTACCCTCACATGTATGTCATCCGGGGTCATAATAAAATGCGTCAAACAGCCTAAAAACTGGGAGCAGATACGAGTCCAGATGATGTCCACAATGATGCCCGGGATTCGTAAATGGTTTGAAGGCTTTAATAATGAAGAAATGAGATTTGGCACAATCGATAAAATTTCATACTAATTCATGCGTGAGAAAAGATGATTACTTAATCATATGGATAACAACGACCATGGTTCAGTCGAAAATTCAAGTCGGAGGTGGTATAGTAAATAGTTAACCAGTTAACCTAATCGCTAAAATAGGATATACATACTTGACATATTAATCACTTGAAATACAATTTTGATGCTGAAGAAATGAAATTTGACACGCTGGATAAAATTGCACACTAATTTTGGAGAAGAAAATGGTGATGAGATGGCTTATCATATGAATACCAACGACACTCATTGAGTACCCAGTTCTGATTGGGTATGGGAATGATTGTATACATAGTTTGAAATAACCAGGCCTCGAATCAATCTGTGACAGGAGATAGTCCATCCAATTGACCCAAAAAATCATTTATGGGCACTATACCCATATTAACGAACGCTAATCAGAAAAATGATAGTGAGCATTATCCTAACCATGTAAAATGCAGGTTAATCATCAGCGGTCACAAAACAGCCTTCCAAAAAAACCATTCCATGAACTGATTATAATTCCTGAATCATCCTTGGTAAGTGCTGGACCGTTGCGTCTGGCTTGCTTTACATATATAACGAAAGTTTGCCCCACCTATTTTCTATTAATATTTGATGCAGACAGTCTTTGCTTCGGTGAAAAACTCATATGAATCATTCTGTCCTTCTCGTCCCACTCCTGACATCTTGATTCCTCCGAATGGAATCCTCAAGTCTCGAACCAACCAACAATTTACCCATACTGTGCCTGTAAATTACAATTTGTTTACTTCTGATCATTTCTCCGAACCACTACTCATCTGAGCAATTTTCATCTAAGTTCAATTTTCATCTAAGTTCAGGTGTTGAAAAATACAATTTTAATATTTTGCTGTGTGATCGAACTTATTGTGGTCGCCATATAATTAAGCCAATTATTGTCTTACCTCTCTTGTGTGATAAATGATGAAATGCTATCCTGAACAATCTAATTATTACTGGTACACTCAGTACTGCAAAATTTTAATGTCTTGATCAAACAGAGTGCACTTTTATCAACCATAATAAAATTACAATCATCATTGTGCCATACAATTTCAATCTATGATTGAATGCATTAGCTGTTTTTATCACTGCAGTGCAGTTGCACCCGAAACCAAACCCAAAGTCCATCAAAAAAGATTTCAACTTTGGGTTCAAGAAAATTTCAATACTAACTCCAGCTTCAACCCAGATCAAACACTTACCAGCTTCTAGTTGCTTGGCAACCCGGTGTGTTTTACCGACATCTTGTGTCCAAAGGCAAGCAGCAAGTCCATACTTCACATCATTTGCTCTCTTGATAACCTGAATCAGGAAGCTTGCAAGTCATTAATGAAATAGTAATCATATTAAACTGAACTGTGAAGTCCGAAGTATTACATGTTCCTATTGATAGTGAAATCGGGAACAGAGTCATAATATATTCAAACTGCCAGGAATCGGAGTTGAAATTCAGAATTCTTTGAAGGCGGAGTTTGAGACTTTTTATTGGTAATTATCAAAATCAGATTTTCCTTCAGAGACTCAAAATGCATTAGGTTGATTAAATAAACTTTTTCCAAAGAGAGTTGAAGGAGGCTTGCATATGCCAAAATTATGACTAGATTACTTCGAAATTAGAGTCTGGACTTAAGATAGGAGTCAAAATTTACTTCAATCTGGAGTGCAATCAAAGTTTAATCAACCCATAGCTGGAGTCCTTTCTACCTGGTTCCGAGTTTGGAGACAAATGCAAAGCTATCCCATATTCCATGGAAGATACAACAATACCATCCAGCACTTCCCCCCCCCAAATAATCTGACATTAAAATGTCGAAAATAAACAAGAGAAACTCTCAACCAACCTCATCCTCAGTATCGAATGGACAGATGCAAGTTACAGGTCCGAATATTTCTTCCTGCATTAAAGGTGAAGAATCATGGACATCTAGAAAGGATGGGAAATAATTGAATTAAGGTTTTTATCGTGGTGCTGTTCACAGCTGTTACAAGCTGTATTGTATATTTTTAGTACCTGTTGACATTTCAGTGTTCGCCCTTAACTTTGCTCAGAAATGAGTTTCCTTCAGAGGAAACTTCTGAGTGAATGTGCATTATGCACTATCATACTTCAATATAGTTGCATCTGCTCTCAGCATTCCAGTGGTCGACTGTAACTTTGCTCAGAGATGAATTTTTTTTGCTTCTGTATGAGCGCATGTGTGACTTTGCTTTGAGCAACTTCCTTTGTATATAAAACAGCATTACGTATATCCAATGCTTTGGAATCAGGGAAACAATCCCTAAACTCTAAGCCATTCTATAACTGACTTCACTAATCCTTTTTCACCCAATTCCAACCTCCGAGCCTGTTAAAAATGATACCAGACTCCATTTGAACAAAACTTCTGATTCCAGCTCTCAAATTCCAGATTAAGGGAATTTTTGACTTAGAATCCAAAATCTGAGAAATCAACTTGGATAACAAAAAATTTGACAAATGCATGCCCTCTTTATTTGTCTGTTGAGAGCGCTTATACAACGTAAAGTTTTGGATTTCCTGACGAAACGTGTCCGATATTTCGGCTTTAGCTCCAGAAAATTGAAAATTCTGATTCCGCAGCCATTCATAAACGCATCAAGTTTGGGGTACGGCAATGACTCACATTATGGTCAGAGTAAATTTCAAAAATACAAAAGTAATAGATTTCTTCGAATGGCTTGCTAAAATAGTAAGTGGAACCATAATTTATAATTGATGGAACATTTTGCACAAAAATACGTTGTAGCACGATAATGATATTCATTTTCTATATTGTGATGCTTTGAACAGGGCTACAGACAAGCAGCCACTTATATAAGAAGCTACTATTTTTAGATAGAATCTTTCCATTTGAACACGAAGTTTAGCCAACTGGTTACACTGGGTAATGTGGCGGGCGTGAGATTTGAATCTGAGAGTTTAAGATGCTGCAGTATAGATTCCCTGGCCAGTGGACCTAGAACAGAGTTTTGTTCAAAGTGAAATGTGTGTAAAATATATTATTAGGAGTTTCACATAAATCTCACCTGTGATAACGGTTGGCATCAAGAAATAACCATTTTGACACTTATCTGGTATTTTAATCTGCGACTTTTCAACAATAGTGTGAACTTTGACTCCTGTTGTATTCTCCGCAAGGTTTATGTAACTGGTTACCTTGAAAAGTAGAATTAAACAATTTACCTTCATTGCTATAGGGATTCTCGACCACGGTGCTTACCAGACAAAAGCTAATTTTCCGTCAGAAGTTCTCCAAGAACTTATTTAACTTATTATAAAAATATTTGACCTTTCTTGGGGGTTAATGCAAGCAAGGAATTCACACTCTTCTCTACTACAAAACTGAGTTACTGGTTTCCTTACATTACATGATCAAAATATGGCTGTCAACACATTTTTGGGATTGCAAAATCCTCTGTAGCATAGTAAATGTTATTACGATATGGTCCGAGTATTTTCATTGAAATTTCCAGCTCCACACGTTAGGATGGTATAATCACCACCCACGCTGGTGAATATATTCCAACCCCCTTCTCACCTTTTCCCAGTGTTGTCTGCTCACTAAAGCACCCATGACTGTATCAGGAGAGTCAGGGTGCCCAATGATTATTTTTTTCATTCTTTCCAGAAACTTTGACAGAAAGTCTTCATAGATCTCACGTTGGACAAATATTCTACTAGTGCAGAGACAGACTTCACCCTGAAATAATAAAGCAACATATAAACTAGTCGATTCCAGTTGTAAAAAGTATGCATTATGATTATGTTCATAATTAATTTTGTTTTTCATTGTTGTAATTTATGTTTATAAAGGTAATGTGTCATGAAAGGCGCGATTAAATAAACATCTCGCAAAAAAACGTTTGTTAAGTGTCACCTGATTTGCAAAACTTGATCTAACAGTCGTCTCGATACATTTCTCCAAGTCAACATCAGCAAATATCACGGCAGCATTTTTCCCTCCAAGTTCTAGCGATAATTTCTTCGTCCATGGCGCAGTTACTTCCTGGATATGCTGCCCAACTGCTGTGCTTCCAGTGAATGATATCAAAGGGACATCGGGGTGAACCAAGATTGGCTGAAAAATATGAACTGGACAATAACTGTATTATCGCGTTTTCATGCCTACACTTCTCAATAAGGTTCCGGAATAAGTAGACACAGATATGTTAGAAGCTACTATGAAGACGGCTCTAGACAAGCAGTCACAGATATGTAACGAGCCATGTAGAATAAGACTCTATTCAGGTAGTTACTTATACATAACAATCAAGTTTGCCTGAAAAGAATGAACTTGAGATTAATTTTTCATATTTTCTTTCATGTTCACATCGTCTATTTTCTCTTGCACGCTGGAATAAATATCTGATTTTCACTCTAACCAAGGCCGGGTACTAGGATTCAAAGCTGAACTCTTTAAATCTTTAATGCCAACACATTTGAGACCAATTCTCTAAAGACTAAACCACTATGGAATTTTTTTGAATGACAAAATCAGTTGAAATTAATGTTGGTTTAGGACTGGCCGGCATGAACTGTAAGTGAGGTTATCTCCTGTGCAGGAATAATTAAATGTGGAATGTGAAATTTTCTTCCTAATGCTTCGTGATTTGTGAAAACAAATGCGTCATGAGTTGGAGAAAAAATTAGGGACAAAAAAGCTACATATTTTTATTCTCAATTTACATCATGTTCTTATTGCTGAGTTGATACCTTACCTCTCCAGCAGTTGGGCCATATCCAAAGACAATATTTACAACACCAGGTGGCAGTCCTGCTTCAACAAACACTTTACACAGCATCCATGCAGTTACGCTAGTGAATTCGGATGGCTTGCACACACAAGTGTTCCCATATGCAATTGCTGGTGCTATTTTCCATGTCAGAAGATACATAGGCAGGTTCCATGGACTAAATAGATAAAGAACAGTAAATAATACAATATGGCAATTTACACACTGTTGACTTCAAAAGAAGGTTCTGTATAAACAGCTACTGATACATAATGGGCTACTATTTTTGAACAAGACCAGAACCTTCCTGGCTTGGCATTTCTAATCACACTTCATTACACCCTGGGTGTGATGGGACTGGGAAGAAGTGGTAAATATTAATTGCGTGGTTCATCATGTATCACTGTTTCACAAGTTTAATCTGTAACGTTTTGTTTGACTGAAGTCAGGTTTTCGCAGACAAGCAGTATGTAACATTTATACAAAAAAAAATATATGAGATAAAGCCTTGTGATAAAACATGAATATAAATATAAGATGAGACTCTGTATTTGGAAGTTAAGCTTGGGAGTATTGTGATAAAAAATGAACATAAGTGAAAAAATAATGAAAAACTCTCTAAACTGGCTTGAAGCTTGTGACCATTGTGATAGCAATGTGGTAAAGAAGTGAACAAGCACGATTAGATGCTCTTTGATCGGGCACAGCAATGATGTTAATCAAAGTCGGACTCCGATCATACACAATGTTACAGAATAAAATTTGTGGATGTGTGATGCAAAATTTTTGAAACATTCAACATAGCCGTTTTTGAATAAACGAATAATAGCGTAAATGTTCCCAGTAGAGCTAGACCGATATCACTTTTTGACGCCGATACTGATATCGCAATGCCGATATTCTTAAAAATCATATTTTGAGCCACGCTTTTATGATGCACTTTGTGAGTCTGTAGTTTCATTTTGATATTTGTTATCATGGCAGTAAGACTTTTATTCAACTAACTTTAGTTAATTCTCGAACAAATGTTATTCTGTAACTTTTCCTGCTACTTCAGGAAAAAAAATTGTTAATTAGACGTTTTAAAATATAACTATAGACATATGTTAAGGGTCTTAAAAAATTATAAATTGATATATTTTAAAGTGAATCGTGATAATGATCCTTCGATATTGTGATAGCATATGTGCAGTTACATGTGAAATTTTTAATAACTCTGTTTCCAGAGACTCTTAATACCTTATTTAGTCAATAATAATGGATTGAGTTTTTATTTTGTAATTTTCAGCAAAATGATAAACAACCATCAATATAGACCCTAGAAATTCAAAATTGAATTTGGGGAGGTCACAAATTCGGAACTGACATGATTGCTTTGAGCTACCTGTACCATGTTTCTATGATTACTAACTCACCAGCTTCGAATCGATTCTATTTATAGAACCACCGTTTAATGCAGTTACTAAATTTGCCTTTTTCTCATTGTGTACTCTCTCAAAAACGTCACTTTATAAAACGTCATTGTTACTGCAGATAATAACTTGTCAGTTATGACCATGCATGAAATGGCTAATCATAAAACACCGGGGAATTAGGAGAGACACCTTTATAACGCAAAATAAAAGCGAGAGAAATATTGGAAAACCAGTTACGCAGGGGCGAGAGTCGTTGCAGCACGCAGCCCAGCGCTTGCCGAGTATGGCCGATATATATCGGCGGTTTATGCCCAATATGATATATTGGCAAACACGCAATATCGGTCCGATATATCGGTTTGTATCCCGGCAGGTTAGCGACTGTCAAAACAGCGACTGTCATAATGGCGATCGCGCTAAAACAGGACTGTTATAATAGCGACTTAACTATTTGTACAGGAATGACAAAATAAAGTTAGGTTTAGGGGGATGGAAGGTGTGTGTGTGGGGGGGTGAAAGAGTGCGTGTATGTGTACAAAAAGTTTGGTCGCTATCATAACAGTCGCTGATTTGATGCGGTCACCATTATGACAGTAGCTGTTCTGACAGTCGCTATTTAGAACCCAAGCCATGTTCCCATACCCGACATGGACAGGTAATAACCAAGAGACCATGGTTTACCACAATCTATATTTTTGCCTTTCCTCTCATTGTGACCCATAGAGAGATTTCCATGCCATATACTGACAAACAAGCAAGAAGGGGTGGTTTATCATATCATTAATCTATCTTAAATTCCCTGACAATCTATCAGTTTTACTTTGTTTGCTCCAGTCGTCAAGGGATGGTTCACATAACCGATGGTCAGTTATGGCTTCCTCCATGATCACGTCCATGCCTCTGAAACAAATAACTAGTCAACTATTCATGCCACACCCATCATGGGCTGGCAACCAGATGAAAGGATATAGTTTGCCATATGATTAAACCGCCTTATCAATTTTCCTCGCACCCATGATAAATAAAAAAAGTTCTATCTTATCTACACTCACCTTATTAAGCCTGCAACACCAATAGGCTGCCTAAGAACATAGTTCACGGCTTCACAAGGAAGTTTTTGAACAACAGAATCCGTTTGCATATGAAGTATTGCAGTCGCAAAAAATCGGAAATTTAATATTGCTCGTGGAATATCAACTGCTCGTGCTAAGGAAACTGGTTTTCCCTGTAAAATTAAGAAAAAGTCTTGTTCAAATCGAAGAAAACTAAATTGTCTAAATTTAATTTATTAAATCACGGTTAACTTATTGAGAACTGATTATTATTATAAATGTAAAGCAGGAACAGGAAGTTTTGGAAAACATCCATTCTCCCTACCTGGTCTCTTGATTCCATTTCAGCAAATTCTTCTAACTTTGATTCAAGGATGTCAGCAATTTTTAGCATCATTTTTGATCTGTATAACAAGAGAAGACACAAGAGTGTACTCATATGTTATAAAAAAAAAGCACCGGGTGGTCCCTCAAGACTCGAGAGAAAGTCTAAAATATAAAAAATAAAAGTAACCGCAATCTAGTAGGGCAATGGCGTAATAAATTGGGTAGACAATTCCGAACTGAAAAAAATTCCATACCTTCCAATAAATAGTATCTCCTTACATAATGCTAGATATAAGTGGCCATTTGTACAAGGCCTCGTTCAGACCAAAATGAATAAGCCACACATAAAACAACTTCTTATATCTTTCAGTACTGAAAATTTTGAAATTAATTGATTGGTTCATTAGTTGGTTCATTTTCACAACAACAACAACCCCAAGCATTCTAAGTTATTTCTAACACGACTCAAAACAACAATAAATTAACAAGTGATCCATATGTACACACGGTGTCCAATGTTAAATGGATACGATTCATAAATCTTGTATCTGACCGTCATATTGGACATACGAGTAATAAAATGGGCATTGCATACCCATTTTGCTACATCCTGGGTGAGGTGGTGGGCATGGAGTTTAGAGTGTGGATGTGTCACAATGGACATGGTACTTAATCGAAACAATTTTAAACTCCCATAATCCTTGCAGATTGTTGGACTCCCTAGGTTATGTCAAAATTACGCTGATTAGTTACTTCTTCCACCATCAAAAATATGAGGATAGCATAGGTCCCGAAACTACCACATCCAGAATTCGAACCTGAGATCGTAAAATGAGTAGGCCAACACTCAACCACAACACCAGCACAACTCAATGAAAAACCTCACCTGTACTGAATACTTGTATCAGACCAGGATTGAAAAGCAGTTTTACCCGCTGCTACTGCTAAACTGACATCCTCCTCATTACTGTCTGGAATCTGTTATGGATAAGCAAGAATTTAGAATGTGTTGCTCGGGATTTCAGATTTATCGTTTGAAAAGGAACACTGATAAGATGATTCAATTTGATCTGAATCGTCGGTAAATCTCACTTTATACAAGAAAGTGTTTGACCAAATGTAGCCATTGACCCCATAGCAGATTGCAATATTGTTGGGATTACGACGTCTCTCGAGTTCTCACTAAAAATACTGTCTATGCCAGTACCTATTTTTCGTAATTAGTGACAGCATACTGGGGAAGATATTCGAGGGGGAAATTTGACTTCTGATATTTGACAAAGGGTAGACCATAGTACGAAGGTTGAGGGGTTATTAATCTCAGAGTTAAGTTATGGAAAATGATGTGCACAACGGAAATTTAGGTAAATTGCTCGAATTTCATATGAGATATAAAATTATTAAGTGGGTAACACAACCTCACATTTTGCATGTTATACAAGAGTAAAGCATGATAAGACTCCCTAATCGATGGTGATAAGTGAAAAAATGCGTAATTTATCAAACCATAGTGGTGCACATGATCTTTACCCTGTGATGCCAACCCTAATCACTAGGACCTCCACTGTCTTTACACTTACCTTTGCATGTACATGTCCTGTAGAAGGGTTAAAGCTGTCAATGTAACTTTTATTCAACGGCTCGACAAACTCCCCGTTAATAAAATTTGACACAATGATATGATCTGTCATGATTAGACTATTGCACTTAGGTAATTGAAAAACTGAAAAATAATAAAGCGGTTTAGAATACGTAACAACAAAAGAAGATACACAAAATTGGCGCCAAGAAAATACTTAATAGGAATTCATCTCCCGAAATTTTCACCCATGAAGAATTTTCATCACGGAATATTCCGCATAGAATAAAAATTCATATTTAACATACATAAAATCTTTCCGGAAAGAGTTTTCTGATTGCATTTCACATGAGTGTATTTTTGTGGATGAAAAAAAAATTTGCTTCAAAAAGGCATTATTCATTATCGACTGAAATTTAGAATGAATATGCTATGTCAGTTTTCATTCTATCAAATAGACTACCACTTTGCTACAATACAAACGATATGTTCTAAGATAGGATACTGAAAGCCACTAACAAGCAGGAGGCAAGAACCGGTATATCATTAGAAATCATTTCTTGTTTTGTTCATATACAAATTCACAAGTGCAACAAAATAAAGACAGTGTGAACTGAAACATGTTTCCTATGTTAGTTTTTCAGTATGCTAGCTACATATTTGATAAAATATAAACAATATGTTATGAATAAGAAATAAAATATTTTTTTTAGCATTAACTGGGTGAGGAAAGCTGATCGTGACTTAATGAAACCCTTTGAAAGTGTAAAGGGTGCAGGACTGATATATTCCAATTATGAAGTGACTTTCCCTACACCTACCTAAGACTGCTAACAGGCCAAGTCGCTGAGGGGAGCTACTAGATTGATGTCTTATTGGCTCTCCTCTCCTCCCAAAGTAGATATATTATTAACAAAACCAATACTCAGATAAATGCATGTAATGTTCTGGTAAAGAAAATTCACAGTTACACTGCAAAAATGTCAGATCAATTGATTTTGTCTCAAATGCAATTTAACTCAAATTCAAAATTAATTTTTAAAAGAAGATAATAGAATACACATATATAAAGAGTCAAGCTCCAAGAGGTGTATCATTCTAGAATGTAAGATCTATCTCAAATCAGTACTAGGTATACCGCTGCATATTCCATTCCTAATTAATAACACTCATTTTTATACATTTAATTTAATGATGATCACATAAATTGACTCTTGACATTTTGGTGGTAACCCATAGCTTCACTAGAGGATCATTTTCGTGTTGTGACCTTAGTTTGAGCAAATTCCCATAAATAAATTTGCTCCAACTTGAAGGCTGCACTTGGTTAGTGACACATGGCGGTAGAGTTAATGGTATGATAATACCGAAACAAACACCTGTATATATACTGTATATACACAGTTACATGACTATACTAATACAACAATCCTACGCAACTGACATACTTTTCAAGTACTAGTTTGTTGACTCATAATGTAATTGACACAATATTAATCAAACAATGTAAAGATATATTTAGCTGTTGGCCCAACATGATAGATATATAATTCATGCATTTCATACAGGGTTTACCTGTGATCCTGGTTTGCCAAATGCCAACAATTCCAAATGCCAAATGCCTTCAAATTCAATAATTTTTATATGTACCAGTGTACATTCAATATCTGCCTGGAAGATTGGTAGACATATATGATATATTTATAGAAATCTTTGTGAAATGAATAGTCTTATATTGTGACGAGGCTTTGGACAAGCAGACAAGTCAGGTCAAGAGTAGCTACTATTTTTGAAAGCACCACAATCTTTCAGGCTCACATAAACGAGTTAAATGTCATCAGAAACAACAACCAATGTTTTGTCTTCGCCTCCATCCATTATGATGTCACTATTGGTGTTTTCAGCCTTCTCTGATCGGATGGATGAGGAACCCATATCAATGCCCTAATATAAAAATAAATTATTTTATATCATCTTAGGTTGGTTACTATTTAACAATCCATACCAGATTTTAAACATTATTTACCTGAGCATGCCTTACAAGCATCAAAACTTGGTCTGCACTTAGAGCAGTGTTACACTGAAAAAGTAAAATGAAAAGTGTAAGCTGAAGTAAGTAAGTCATTGGTAACACACTTGCCATCGCTGATTCCTCTGATTAAGTTAAGTTAATAGATAATTTAGCTTGACGCTTAAGGGTGCAATTTACCCCAAAAAGGGGCTCTGTTTGGAAATACAGAAAGCCACTGATATGTAAGTAGCTACTACAAATAGAGGCCAACGGAGTCCTTCCTGTTCAACACTGAATATGCAATGCATCTGGTGCATTTTAATTTAATCTCTGGGTTGTTATACACTGGGGGTGGGAAGGCTTGAGTAATAGACTCACCTCAAGTTGAACTCAGGTCATCTAAAGGGAATGACTCAAACTCATACTCAACCAACCGCCCGTGAGACTTAGCTTGAATAATCTGTGATTTGACTTAACTCACAACTCAGAATTTGGGGACTTCCACCCTACACTAATATATAATCAATTGATACATTTATTATTAATTGTTTCAAAAACTACGCAAAAAAGTGTTCAGTTATTTTGTCAGTTCTATGATATTATAACTACTAACCTCGGTAGAAGGGTTTGTTGCCGTGGCAACAGACAGTCCTTCATCTTTTATTATAATCTGACTTCCATCAAGGATTGCGCTGTTCTGCATGAGTAAAGAAATAAGAAATACATATAGGGTGGTGAGATGTGGAGATATTTGTTCTACCCAATTGAAGAACATCTTGCCATATCATTGGCTGCTTGGGAACAGCCTTGATTGGAAGGAAGATGTGAAAAAGCCCCATAAAAAATAAGGTACCTGTATAGAAGCCAGAATAGAAATACAGATTATTCGGATTTAACTTGAGGGTGAGGGAAAAAATCACATGTTGGGTCATGGCCAAAATTGGGTATGGGGCTAGCTAGCCAATCAATCAGGAGAGAAGGTTTTATTCAAAATTTGGGTTTATTAAATAATATTATTTCTTTATTTAGTAATATTGTGATAATTATTTATGTATGTATGTATGATAAACTATTCAAACAGAGCATATGAAACTATATTTTGTCTATATAATATCTGTCGCAGAACTCACCTGCGTTCCATTTGAATGCTTCACATAAAGTTTGCCATCGTTTATCGTAACCTCTATTTCACCTTCAGCACCAGATTGGGAGATCTTTTGATCCTGCGATTAGGGAGTAATATTCATGAATAGAATAGCATTGCAATAAATAAAATTGTCAGTGAAGTATTGCCAACTGAAAAAGTATAACAATTTTTATGCTCCTTACCATAAACTCACAACAAAGGATCTCTACTGGTCGATACTGACGTACAAGGAACCACTAGGAATGCCATCTGTGTGGCATAGGGCATCACATTAGTTAAGGCTAGCCCTGGCAATAATACACCCTTGCTCTGCTAAACATGCCATCGCACTACTACCTCGGTTTGGTCCTTTCAAAAAAAATGTTGCTCCTAACATATCAGTGGCTGCTTAGGAGTGGAGGTGAGAAAGTCGATACATTCATTTTCAATTTCAAAATGAATTCCATTTTCAGTAAATGTTGAGCAGGCATATGCTGCTTGATATTTCACAATTATCAACCATAATTTTGCTCACATATTTTATATTATTTATACTGCTTTGACAGGACCTTGCTTGGAGTACAAATATAGATCAGTACGTATAAATGACTGCTTGTACAGAGCCGTGTTTGGTATGAAAGACAAGTGAATATGAAGCAGAAAAAAAATTTTGAGCTCTGTGTACACTTACATCATCAGGAATAGAAGCTTGATTTTCTGTTTCATGCATTGTGACCTCATTGCCACGGTTACTGCCGCCACTTTCTTGAGAAGGCAACATCAACACAGTGGATCGCAGCGTTGTGTCATCACATAACTGAAAAAATATATTGTCATTCTTGAGTAGAGCCTTGTTGAGAGGAAAGGGCTCGATGTCCTAGCGGTTGAAGCATTGTGATGGCATCTCAGATTACAAATCTCCCTCCCACTGTCCAATATTATGTTTAGATATTTCATGCCCTGGACTGGCAACCCAACAAGAAGCATTGGCTTGTCATAAAAATGAGCTAGCTCAGCAGATTTCCTTTCCTCCAAATGAAGACTTTGTCACATGCCTCCAAAACACATCACTTACCTTTGCTTTTAAAATCATTCTTCCATCTGATGTCATTAAACCACTGTCCTAGAAAAAAGAAAAATCATGTAAGTTGAACTAGTCAGAATTAATCCCAGATCCAGCAGAGCATCGAACAAGGCACATCGTGAGGCAAAAATTGATGGACCGGAACTAGTCACAAATAATCCAAAGTCTTACAGAATATCAAACAAGGCAAAATCAATGAACTGGAACTAGTCAGAATCAAGAAACAGTCCTTCGAGAATATCAAACAAGATGTTTAAGTGTTGAAGCAGAACAAGTCATAAATATTTCTGAGATCTTGCAGATTATCAAACAGAACGTTTCAAGAGCCAAACATCATTGAACCGCAACTGGTTAGAATTAATCTGTGATAATACTTTTATAATATTACATTGTACACCAAATACGAATTAAATTTGAACTGCATACAAGTGATAACATGCTGATCAAACTATGGGTAATTTTTCATTGAGAAGTTAGAAAACATCAGGATAAGCCACTCTGGCACAGCAGAGCATAATGGTAATATTTGAATACAAAGTTCAAGTTCAAGGAAGGGTTCAGACAAAGGTTCAAACCTTCTGTAAAAAGAACTCCATACATACCTGCAACTTCAGCTGTGGTGGATTTGCTTTCTTTCGATGAGTTTTAAGATGAGACAAAAAATTTCCACGATGGTTGAAGTATCTCCCACAGTCTGGACATGGCCCAATCATATCCCCTGAAAAAAGAAGCCATAGGTCATATGTCAATGTGATCATAGGGTGTGATAAATTTTCAATTTCTGGAATCCTATATCTTTGTATTTTTAAGGCAAGTTCACCCTGAATGAAGGTTTATTGTAATCAGCCACTTATATGCAAAAAGCCTGTATTCTTTTAAAAAGACCATATTTTTTCCAGGTTGGCCTAGAATTGTGGGTTTTGCGCATTTATATATAAAATTATGGCAAGCACGGAACAATGCAAACCTGTGTGTTCTCTGATATGTCTCTTCAAATCGCACCTATATCCATAAGCCTTGCCACATTCTGTACAAACATATGGTTTTTCTTTCGTGTGAGATCGCTTATGCTCTCTAGGAAATATGAAAAAGAAACGTTAATTCCAAGTAGATCGAATTTTTTTTGAATATTTAACCCAGAGTACCATGGTCTAGTGCAGGGGTTCTCAGCCTTTTTTCTGTTAAGTACCCCCCGAATCACGAAACAATCAACGCATAACCCCGGTAATCAGACACCGAACAAAATTGTGATATATTGACTAACAATTTGTTGCAACACCAATTCATTGACCATATCTAACTACCGTAAATTAAATCGTCTTGTTGATATTATTGCCCTTATCGTCTGCTTAAACTAATGAATTCCTAAAATCTTTCCCAAGTTACAATAAGCATAATAACTTCTTCAATGCTCGCAGCACGCTGTCTTTAGAGATTTCACAGTTTGTACGCAAAGCCTTGAATTTCACATTGTTGTGTCACAATCACAACAACGCAATTTCAGGGAAAATCTACGTTTCAGTTGGCGTATAGTTGCAGTGGGCACGCATTTTCCTCTGGAAGTAATAAAGGATATTAAAAAAAACAGCAACATACAAAAGCTCGACTGTCATCCAAGTACCCCTAGAAATCTTCTGATGAACCACTGGGGGTTCGCGAACCCCAGGCTGAGAACCCCTGGTCTAGTGGTTGAATCATTAGGCATAACTGTGTTGACATTGTAGTTTATTCACCATCTCAAATTCCATGCTCATCAACTCACCCGGGATATAATAAATTGGGCAGGCCCCACTGAACCAAACATATTTTAGTCCTTCCGAAAATAGTACCTCATTACATATCATTAGATATTTGCTAATTGTACAGGTGCCTTCTTGAAAAAAAAATTGATTTTGGTTTTCAAGATTTAGATGAGGCTTTCTCAAACTGAGCACTCTTTGGCACTAGGTCCACGAAATGGTTCACAATGACCACTTCACTTCAAAGTAAAACTGACTATGATTTTTTATACAACGCTCATTCAGCCTTTTCACTTCAAACTTAGCCCTGTACAAGCAGTCGTGCCCGTCGTGGATATCCAACAATATGAGAAGAGATACTATTATTAGATTTAAAAAGACCTGGTACTTCCCAGTTCAGCATTGCCCACCCTAGTTATCACACCCTGGTTGCAGTGGTTCTTATATGAAATTTGAAACTAAAAGTTAAGTCTAACAATCTAACCAGTATACAATAAATCCGAAGTGACCTTTTGTTCGCGTAACTTACATTCAAAAATTTCTGAGTTTCTTCACTTCCAAGTGGATGAACGCCATTCACCACCTTTATGGTATATGGTTTCAGTAGTGGTCGCTCATAAACTGCTCAAAAATGGGTCACCTTACGTCTGAGTGAGTATGCTTTAGGAAAAGTAATATCAAGTTCAAAAATGGTAATTTATCTCACCTAACTTGCGTCATTGTTGAAAAACTTTTTCCACAAATATCACAATGTTTACTTTTCACTCCCTTGTGCCATAACATATGTTTGCGTATTGTAGAAGGATCAGAGAAAGTCTTGCTGCAGAAACTACATGGATATGGTCTCTCTCCTGGAAAAAAACTTTTGAGATCTAATATTTCACATAAAATTCTAGCTGTTTTATAAGAATTCACAGTAGCATTGCTTTTATTTTGTCAAGAATGACCACCTGCGTCACGGCTGTCCTGGGTTTTGTTTTACAGTGCTCAGCCACATGTCCATGTAAGTCATGTAGGGCTGTAAGCTACCGGTACGGTGCTTAATTATTGTATAACCTTGTCAATATATCTGGGCATTCCTCTTTTTTTTCTAAAGTGGGGGATGAGATCAGAACTAAGGACTTGAAGACTTTGATTCCCATCCCAACATCTGATTAATAAAACGAGTACAGTTTGAGTCATAAAAACTTTGAATCCGATTCCAGCTCTGAACTATGATAAAACTATTTGTTTATACTGAGAACTCGCACAAATATCAAGCTTATTTAATTAGCTATCGAGAATGCTTAGTCAACTTCAAATTCAATTATCGCCAATAAAAGTGAAAAATTGACTTTAAATTCGCATTCTAAATTCAATGGAGAGGTGGGAATGAGCCCGAAGTTAGAAGTTGAAGTTGTTTTTTAATTGATAATAATACCAGACTCCACAAGCCTGAGATTAATATAAAAACAGGATTGTTAAAACTAGCCCTTGGCCCACAAAGCCATTAAAGAATTCGTTACTTAGTATATGCATAACTACAATAATTGAGTGGATTGATTGTGGTTTGCCCAATTTTTTGACTGTGATTCATTTATTCTATTGCTTTTGTTGGTGGGCGTTTTATTATTGAACGTGGCAAAAAAATAACTGATGAAGATGCTGAAAAAATAACTATGCATTTTCATACAGCAGTGGGCCACGAGGATTGAGAGTTTTTATAATGAAAGTCTGGAAACCATCATCAAATTATTCCAACCCACCTGTGTGAATTCTTTCATGTATCCTCAAGTTATAGATACTGACGAATGACTTATCACAGACATTGCATTGAAATGGTTTCTCACCGGTATGTGATCGCCTATGAACCTCATATTTAGGCCTGTGTATGAAAAAAATGAAATTTAAGAAAATGAACAGAAAAACAGTGTTTTAAGCGTTATTGTTAACTGCTGTTAAATATATCGCCTTCAAATTCATAACCATTACCTCACCCAGGGTTAAAATAATTTAATAAGTAAGTAAGTACTTGTACTGGACTCATTTGGATTGAAAAACATGCAAACGTGTTTGCTAATAATTCTTCTTTCTACTTTTAGTACATAATACCATATAAACCAACTACAAACCTTGTAAAAGTTTTGTTGCAGATCTCGCAGTTAATTCGAGCTTGTGGACGTCGACCTTTTCGCCTGATTTTCTTTGCCTGAATAAAAAAAATTTCATGAAATATAGCAGTATTTGTACCAGATTAGGCACTAATCATTGTTCTAACAATAAAAAATACTGAAATTTCTATGCTAAAGAAGAGCAAACGCCTAACAAACAGCTAATGTAGACATATCGAATTCTCCGTACATAAAAACTCCATCACCCGTTATTAAGCTCAAGGATAAATATATATTGTAATTATACATACAGTTTGATATAGTTATTCTAAACAAAAATATGAAAACTTCGACAAATCGCTTCAGTTTCCTTCCACCCTTCAGTCACATTGCAACGATTGAAACATCGATTTAAAGCTACAATGCAAGCAGTATTACTCAGCGGACCGCACCAAGCATTTCTTTACACACCAATACATGACCAAACTTCATGAATAAGGAAGTAATCAAGGCAATGCGGCACATTAAGTGCACTCAAGATGAAGAAGGATTATTATGACATAAAAAAAGAACCATTTTTGTACAAGCTTTCACATAAATGTGTAGCGAAGAGTTGCAAAATAATTTGCAAAATTTCTGAAAGCAAAATTTCATTTCAGCAACTAAAAGTGGGAAGGATACTGCTAAAAGAGTTGAAGGCAACCACTGATGAACTAAAAGCTATATATAGATATAGATATAGGCTATGTATATAGGTATTGCTATGGGTTTGCACATAACAAGGTCTCAAGATCTCAGTTGAAAATGGAAACATTGCTACTAAATGAGTTACAATCGACCCCTGACCCATTCAAAACTAACCATATAAATAGATTCAAATGCAAGAGTGCTCATAGTGCGGTTGGTCTGCCTGTTTTGAGGAACCAACTTGACGGAACAGAGCCATGAAGATGCAAATGGCAAGATTATTTTGATGGCTTTTGCATCAATGATTGAATAGGATTAGTACGCAGGTAGTCAAAACTCGTCCACACAGTTTGAGAAACGGTATGCAAAGATCTAGAATACTAACAATAAGTCTTACGAAAGCAGAATCTCAGGCCCAGGGCTGTGGAATCAGGGAAAATGGTTTCAAATTTAGGAGCTCACTGCATATCAGTCTCTTTTTGGCCAAAAAAATATATAAAATCTTTTCTATAAAGCAAACCTCACCTCATCATCAATCTCTTCCAAACTATAAATTTGTTTCTGAGAAGATCGAGTGGGAGATCTGAAAAAAAAGAAATGGTATTAGAGATTGGATTTCCTATTTATCCCAGGAGAGGAAAGTCAACAAAAAGATTTGATCATAGAATAGGATTTTCATATTTATTCTGGTGTAGAAGAAATTCAGTAAGATGGCTCAATCATGGGATAAGATTCCTGTATTTATCATGTATCATGAAAGGCGATAAGTCACCTTAATCCGATGCTGAGCCACCCTACCGTCCAGTTACCAGTTCATGTTGGGTATGGGAATAGTAGACCAGTTAGTTATTTGTTTCAGATGCATTGAAATGTACTTTACGATAAGGAGTCCAGCAATCCTCTAACAAATAATATTCCGATATGGGATTGGAACCTGCAAACTAGCACAGGGTAATCAGAGTTGTGGTGGGAAGACAGTTTTGAAGATCTTAGCAGTATGCGACAACCGGCAAACCAGTACACTCTAATGCGTTCTGTCCTGTTAAAATCATCATCGAAGGGATTAACTTTTGTCAAGAAGAATCTATATTTATTATTGTTGTTCATCATTTAAAAAAGCAAGTTCATGCACAAATATACATAGCAGTGTTCACTATTAGCGCACTTTTTTGCGAAAATTGCGAAGCACTTTCGCAACTTTTTTTAGGGACTGCGAAATAGCACTTTTTTCCGATTTTGAGGAGAAATAGCACTTTTTTCCGATTTTGAATGGAATAAAAATTCAAAGTTAACGAATATTTTCGAGTATTAAGTTGACAAATAAGTAACATACTGGTACTTTTGTAACTCAATTCTGCATATCATACGATAATTTACGGGAATTCTAACCTATGAGATGCAGACATAGGAGATAAAGCTTTTGCATTAACGGCAAAATTCTTGTTTATAATATGATTATTATACAAGCACACCGATTCCGCTTCTCCCGCAAAAAACGCTCCCGGGTCGTGGGCGTTTCTTTGAACAGAGTGGTCATGTGACTATCAATGATATCGATGAATTCAAAATGACTATAAAAGTGTTAGTAACGTGTTATAGTCACTTTGGATGAATTGTGACCAAACTGCGCGACGAAACTTTTAGCAGCATGTCACAGATTTGCAAAATCAACAAATTCACAAAATACCATTAAGTGCCATTTTATTGTAATCACAATGTTGAAAGGACGTGGCATTTTCCGGATTTTGCGATATTTACACAAACTATTTCTCAGTTGGGATATGCGCGGACGGGTGGCAAAATTTCAATATTTTTTCAAATCGATATGTTTTAAGGAGTACCGAATAAACATGGTGGAAACATTAAAAAATCGGCAACAAAGCCTTTTTACTGGTTAATTCCGTTGTAATCGCTAATTGTTCTTGTCACCGATCGTTTTGGCGGCGATATCCAGGTTTTGGGTAATCTATATTCCCGCCCTCTCTTTTTTACAAATATGAATTCTTGTGGGTCGGCGGACATCGAAGTTTTATATTTCGGGTTTACCCGTTCGTTCACATCGGCAACAGCTGTTGAAGACATTGAGGACTCAAATTAACATTTGCGTTGGCTTTAATATTACCTATCAAGATTTGTAAATTTACCGTCCCAATTTTATGCGAATGGTAATATTATTGTCCATACCGTGATGCAGATATTTATTAAGACGATAATTAACTTTCTCATGTATTTCTATGGTGATAAACTTCGCAAATCTGAAATTGTGCCAATCCTGAATGTTGATTTAAAATAGTGATTGAATAATTCGGCAATAAAGGCATTTCTGCGTGGTCATAAGACGAGATGACGTTAATGAACAGCACTTCTTTTACAGGATATTTTACGTATGCGACTTAATGCTAAAAAGATTGGGCTCGAGTGCTTTTTTTTCGAGTGCTCGAGTGCCTAATAGAGGTCAGGCGCTAATTGTAACTAATTCCCTCAAGTTTCAACGTGTTTTCAACAAAACAATACCCCGGCGATAATTATAGCTAAAATGTTACCGAGCAATTCACAATTTTATTTATGGAATTTGCAAATTCACCAGTTTCTTGACGATTTTGATATTGTCACGCCCTAATTATTAGTGCAAAAAATACTCCCCTTCTTCCGCGGCGGTTTGACGGGTTCTTTGTTCCATTCTTCAGAAAGTTCTGACACGGGGATATAGAATACTGAATCCGGAGGGTTGAATCCCTGTCCACTTACTGGTGATTTTCCGTTTTGAAATGCGTGAAACATTCTCTATTTTAAATTAAATGACGTTTCGCGGGCTAGAGTTCTCCCCGAAAATGATGTGTTCCAGACGTTAGTTAGACGATAGATAAAACATTAGATTAATAATTTTCGTGACGCCCCGTTTTCGAAAATACAAAGTTATATCGCAAAAAATGCGTTATGATACATTTGGAATGAAACATTATTTACGGTTAATTCAGATCACATTTTACTCCATGACACCCGGTATCCGAAAATACAGTTGTATCTCGAAAAATGTGTTTTGTTACATTTAAAATAAAACATTTTTGCGATTAATTTAGATCATATTTTACTTTTCACGACACCCGTTTCCGAAAATACAAGGTTATATCGCGAAAATGTGTTTTGTTACATTTAAAATAAAACATTTTTGCGATTAATTTAGATCATATTTTACTTTTCAGGACACCCGTTTTCGAAAATACAAGGTTATATCGCAAAATGTGTTTTGTTACATTTAAAATAAAACATTTTTGCGATTAATTTAGATCAAATTTTACCTTTCACGGCAACCCGTTTCCGAAAATACAAAGTTATATCACAAAAAATGCGTTTTGTTACATTTATTTTGCATTCCCAATAAAATACATATTTTCCCTAATTAAGGTCGTCGATGAATCTGTTCCTGTCGTTCAAGCTCGACACACGTTTGGACGAGTGTGGGGCGGTTTTTTGGTCGACGATAAATTAAAAAGTTGCCACACGTTATTTGTATAACGATAATAACTGAAAATTAAGATTTTATAATAGAAGTGAATTTGTCTCAAGATGGTATTTTACGATTCCTGCCCACAGAAAATAAACACGCTGACAGGCTTGGTTATAATTGATATTCGTTTAATTTATTTTACACTATTAATAAACGCGCCACACCAATTGCGACCATATAAATTGCAGTCGCATCGGTATGGACTGTATGTTTTTGGCGCTCTCACATTAATAATAATTTTCAAAAAACAATACCCCGACGGTCATTAAAGCTGAATTCGTTACCGAATAATTCGCAATTTTATTTACGGAATTTGCAATTTCAAGATCTCACTTGACGATTTTGATGATGTCATGCCCTAATTATTACTGCTTAAATGCCTCAAAATACAACAAATGTAATCATTTTCGACGATAACAGGCGCAACAATTCGTAAACGAGCCGTTATAACGAAATTCGCCATTGATTTTACCTCTCTCTTGTTTACAATTTTAACATCCCGCCGGCCATGTATGGTCGAATAAAATGTTCACATATTCGAAACATGACTTGGCAAAGGATGGAAGGCTTCACTAAAGAGCTAATAGAAAGTACATACGCGAGGGTATGATATTAATATCGAGAATATTTGTGAGCATATCACAGGACGGAAATATTTTGCACCCGGCTGTTTGTTGGCAGAACAACGATACGCTAAAGTTAATTGATCGACTACAGCATAGGTTCTCAAAGTGCTCCGTACGGAGCCCCAGGGCTCCGCGAGAGAAACCCAGGGGCTCCGCGAGCTATTCGGTTACTTTTCAAAATACTGACTTGGCTAATTTTGTAACTGTTCAAAGAAGCAATAACAGCTTTGATAGAATTGGACAACAATATAGCCTCGAAATATGGCAAAAAGGCGGAATTAAAAAATGACATTATTTATAAGTAAGAGCACAGCCAGGATTCTTAAGAGGGAGGGGTTCAAAATTGGAATTGGAAATTTCTACGCAACATTCTTCATTTAAATTTGCATTTAAAGTGTCTTGTCGTAATAATTCTAATTGTGCTCATCGTCACTCACGTTTGATTCGAGATTACTATTAGGATTACTAAAATGAAAGAATACTATTCTAAAACAAGAGAGCTACGCACAAATATATGGACACGTTAGACCAGAGCGAATCAGTCTTTACCGGTACCTTTGACGCTACCGGTACCCTCAAAAAAGTTCTGAATTTCCAGTAGCAAGAATTTTGCCGAATCAAAACGTACAGCCAGTCATGACATTGACTAAAATCCGTGTTCCCATGGATAAAAAAATTATACAGCAAAATTTTAGACGAAATATCAAATTTCATAGAATTCACGCAAAATTTTGAAATAAATAAAAGTAATAGCCTTCTAGCGAAGAAATTAATCTTTAACCACTGAAAATTTCAAAGCAATTGGTCCAGTATTCGAAGAGAAAAGCGATTTTTTAAAAACGTGTCAAAGAACAAGAACAACAACAACAACAACATAATATTGAAACGATCGTTATGGCCACTAAACGTGTCCAATAACATAAAATACCCAAGGTCCGGGCAAAATATGAACGATTGTAATTTATTTTATTGCATGCGGCTAAAAGGTACAACGCATGCACAATTGACTGTGTTTCGATTTCGCAGTTACTATGATGAATAACCAAAGTAAACATAAAACTAAATTTTGTGATTCACAATGTCTATAAAAGTCTGCTGAAACAACACTTATAGTGTTATCTCCCATTTAAGTTTCAGTTTTAATATTTTAGAATGCCGCTTTCCAATCAAGAAATTCGAGTTGCGGATTTACCTCTTTATTAATTATTAATTTTAGTATTTCGTCGCCGATGACTATAATATGATAACGTGTTTTTTTACATTGAACTCATAATTCCCCACGAGAACAAAAAAGCAATTATCGTTGTCATTGTGGAACAATACACGTATATGTCAATGGAAATTTTTGATTTAGGAAGAATAAACATCGGCGTAAAGATGTTTAAGGTTTAAAACACGCCATACTGACGAAAACAATCGGCGATTGTAACAAAATGCAATCGCGCGCGTTTTTAGCGCTTTTTAAGTCTTCCAAAAATGTCAAAAAGGAAAAGATTCGACCCCTAATTTATTAATATGGTTGTCAAGTGTCAAATTTATAGCTTTAGTATATATAATTTATCTTTGAAATTTAGATTCATTTATGACTTGTATTAACCCTATTAAAAAGGTGTTGCATTCAAATTAAGTAAAGTACTTTTAACTTACTCAGGAATATTAATTGGAAAGTAACAATTTTAACATTTATTTTGGGGCTCCGTGAATAATGGTCAACCTTTTCAAGGGCTCCGCAACATCAAAAGTTTGAGAATCCCTGGACTACAGGGAAGTATTTATTTATCATCTCACTTGCGAACATCGAGGTTTTGGTGGAATTGTACGATCATGTTGTCTTTCTTAAATAATAACTTTTTCAGTAAATGTTCATTTTACTTTTGCGTCTTTATTATATGTCTGGTTTTCATCTATTTTAAATTCGAAATTGTCCGAAATACTCCAACAGGTGTATAGGTACAATAATAATAGTACTTGCCAAAGTACCTACCAGGGAAGTTTAATACAAACGACGTGTAAAGGGCGTCGTAACTCCCGTTTATTAATTATAAATTTTTTTACATTCTGCTTAAAAAACAACGGCAGTCATCTCACGTTACTCTCGCGACCAAATCTTTTTTGTTTTGTATGGCATCGTCTTGGCGACGAATTTATTGCCGACTGAATTTTAATTGTGTTTTAGGTTAGTTATTTTCTGTACTTCACAAACTTGGGTAGCAATTACTATTAATGTGAGATTTGTGCATATAAACGATTGAATATCGCGACTGGATGTCCGATATCTGAGAATGCGTAATTCTCTTTCAACATTAATTTTCAGGATATCAGCGTTCATGTGGTCGAATAAAAATTATTTATCAAATGGATTGGTATTTCGAGACACTCTCAAAATTATTTGGGATCCATTATCATATCATTCGTTTATTTTTTATATTCATATTTTTCTCAAGAATCACCCTCGTTATATTTAGTGTACCTTCGCAAAAGAAAACTCTTTGATATCATCGTTCCTATTAGTGTAGTTGAAATATATGGAAACCTCGCAAGTGGCGTTGTGATGCGATTATTTGATACTAGGTCAGCAGAATTACAAAGAGTGCTATTTATGAATGCTGAAACTCTGAAAGTACAGCAAAAGACATTACTAAACATTTTGCCAATATATGATGTTTTCTGCCCGATTTAAACTAACTCGCACGCAAACCAAGGCATGTCGACATTTAAAAATTACTTGTCTTTGGGTAAGCTCTGAAATAGTATAATAGAAATGTAAATGAGAAATTAGGTCACGCTAGCTCACGAAACGGGAGGATTTTCAAAGTGATCTTGAGTAATATTTCGGAGAAAAAAGTTTGAAAGGAAAGTAGGTCAACCTATCTCTTAAAACAGGGGAGTATCGGGAACGTAGGTTAACCTATCTTTTAAAACAGCGGGTGGCGACTTTCAAAGTGGTTCAAAATCACAAATTAATAATTATCAGATTAGGTTTAGGGATGAATCGAAAAGTTGAATTTCCAGCGCACCTAACCCTAATTAGTTGATTGCGATTTATATTGGGGGGGGGGGGCCTGCCTCGTGTCTGTTAGATGGAAGGCGTAACAAATGTGAAAGTCTTTGCTGTTTACGCGAGTAAGCAACTGACACCGTTATACATTGCATGAAAGTTTTGTCCCTGGCAGGTGTTAGCAGATGTCATTTCGTTGCCGATGAATTCTCTTGTTTTAATTAAACATGAATTCGCTTAAAGGGAACTCGTTAACGAAAAGGCTTCTCTTTAATTCATAATATTAACCGAAGGAGCGCTTTTTCGAGTATCTATGCCGTTTTAAATGGGTTATATGAAAGGCTAGGGCACCTAACTTGTTAAAATCGGCAAAAGCACTTTCGCACTTTTTTTTCGGACTGCGAAGCACTTTCGCACTCATAATTTGCTTAGAGTTAACACTGATACATAGGCACGAATAGCGTGTTGTTCTGGGAAAATAAAGAAATTCTGGAACAATTCAGAATGTGACATTATACGAAGAATCAATTAAGTTGTGGTTGAATTTTGTCTGGTTGAAATTAGCATAGAGGAAACTAGTATCAATTATTGAACTTTTTCCTTCCTTTCCTTTTCAATCTTGTTCTTGAACCACCACCTCTCAAAAAAAACTACACAACATAGTAACCTTTCTTTGTCCTGGGCAGCAAACTCTTCAGCAAGGGAGCCTGTATCTGTAGTCTGATAGACTTCAACCATCATCTGAAACAAAAATAGTATTTTTAACTTTGAAAAATGAGTATGAGGAATTCTAGTGGTCACCGGAAACGCATGTCCATGTGACTTTGTGTTGAACAAATTCCCACAAAAGAAGTTAACAGTTACATGCTTATAGATTAGAACAAAAAATCCTTGTTAAAAACTTTCATTATATTCAAAACATATTTAACTATTTTTCCCAGTTTTCATACAATATTTTCACATGCATTTCAGTCTGAATGTGGTTATAAAATATCAGTTTAAAGCCTATGCCCACCACCTAGAGCAGTGGTTCTTAAACTGCGTTCGATCGAACCCCTGGGGTTCGGTGGAGCTGTTCCAGAGGTGCGACGAAGGTGCTCTGAAACAGTTGCATATTATGAGACTTTTTTATCACCCTGCATACTAATTATGCAAAAATAACTATAGTTCATGATGACTAATTACTAATGACTTGAACAATTGAATGAAACAATTAATTGGTGTTACCCTTATTCATATTCTACCGTACTAATAAAATTTAACTCAATTTTACGGATAAATCGAAGATAGGCAGTAATTGTACATGAATGAATGCAAAATCAGAGCGTGTTTGAATTTCACTAGGTGATAAATTTGCGACAAAGAATAGTTTATCGCAGAGCTTTATCCGAAATTATTATGATCCATTCAGGACAACCTCGATATGGCGCCGAATTAATCCTATCTCTATTTCTGTAAAATAAAACAATTGGCAAACGATTTTATTCGCATTTCAGCGCAGTTTAAAGTTTGAGAACAAATTGCTCGAACTACCAACGTTTATGGAGTATATTATCATCTTTCGGATTTTCAAAGTTATTTTTTCTCAGTTTTCGCCGGTTCACCAGCAAAACTTATACAACAAAAACCATCTGCTCTTTCTGCCGCCAACGCCATTGTGACAAAACAATGGTTATTCCCACATGGTTATTAATATCTAAGGTTTCATCACAATGTTCATATTCTACAACCTTGAAAGAATTAGCTTCCGCTTTATAACGTTACGGTTTGGCTTCTAATTTCAACCGTTCAGTACGATGGGGTTCGGCGGGAGCTTGCAGAATAGCGCAAGGGTTCGGCAGGCTCACAAAGGTTAAGAACCACTGACCTAGAGTGTGATTAATTTAGCAGGAAACATTCCAGTACTCCCTGAAATAGTAGTTTTTCACATGTCAGTAGTCAGTACATACAAGTGGATGGCTGTAATGGCTTGTCCAAAGTGAAAGGCATGAATAAGCATTGAAAAAGGAAAATGAATTAGATAGTCCCCAATCCCATTCTTGCTTCTAGATTGTTGTTCACAAATCTGGGGTGATGCCATAAAAATATCTACCTTTTATGGGACTGGTAATTGAACTCGAAGCCACACACAAAGAAAAGTAATTAGAATCTCGAATAGAATAAAATAAAACGAACATAAACCTACGCTGGTCATGGGCTTTTCGTTTCCCTCGACTGTTTCTTCTGAAAAAAAAAGCTGACAGTCAAAAATTTAAAGAAACAGATATTGACAACATTTGAAAAATGAAATAATAGTGTAAAAAAGTTAAGATGAACATTTCCAACGTTTTGTCTGGCCACAGTTGACTTTTTCAGCAAAGCAGAAAAGAAGCTAAAAATGAGAGTACATTGTGTGTGTAATTGAGTTTCCAAGGTTTCCAAGGTCGAGTATAGTTGTCAAAAACCAGACTCAAAATTTTCATCGATGATTAAATATAAGTTGTGTTCATTATGTTCAATAGGCTATATTATTATGTTCCTTATCTCGGAATATATCAGTTTGAAACAGATCAACAGTGCGAAAAGGTGGCTGACCCCAGCTGTAGATATCTCATTCCAAGATCTATCCAGCCTATTACATTTTTGGTCAGAAAGCGGGCGTGAGGATTATAGAGCCAAAAATCTTAGCTCTTATTTCCTCTAGAAATTTCGTTGAATGCAAAAACTAAATAAAAGATGCACCATATCTCACCAGTATATTCTTCGGAAAGTTTGTTCTCATTTTCAATCTCTTCTGTAAATCTATGCAAAATATCTTGTTTCTGATTTGCTATAAAACTGTCAATTTTTCCACCATGGTTCTGTACCACTGAAAACATAATCAGAAATGGCAATCAGTAATTTAATGAGCACGAAAAAGACTGTCCAAGCATCCCTGATACGAGAGAGCTAAATGTATTTGTGGGGACCTAAATTTGAAGTAATGGACTCAGCGTGAGTCAAAACCGCATGTCATGCCAATTTGGCTTTTCTCTCTAAAGAGTCATACTCGTTGGTTATATTTAATAGTATCATCTACCAATTACCGCTGACGTTACAAATTGCTGTAAAATTACGTAGAATTTGGTACTAGAAAAATTCCAGCCGATTCAGACTATGATATTATTACATACTAGTGGTGAGTCTACCGTTCAAAATGTGAGGCATATAAAAAACGTTATATAGTCAACAACAAAAATGTATTGAGATTTAAAACAACTAACTACCTTCTCGCTCATTTTTCTTGAACTTATTACAAAGGTCAATGACCTCTTGCATCTGTAAAAACTGAGCAGTTGCTTGCAATTGGTCGACATTAGTGGGCGTGGCATTCAATTTTGCAGTGTAAATAAAATCGACAATGATTGAGAAAAATCCTGCTTCTACACCATCCAGATTTATGTTTGAAGTTGCCTATGAACAAAAGATTTAAACATAAATTTAAAATATTTAATAAAATGTAACAAATGGGAAGAAAAGACATAGTGGTTCTAACGAGGTTTCAAAATGGAATCTAAAAAACTCACATCAAACTCGTAGCTATTTAAAAACTACTGACAAAATTTTGATTCCGACTCCAAGTTACATGAAATTCTGAATCCAGCTCCAAACTCTACGATACCTAAATTTTGACATGTTGAGAATGCTAATTCAGCCTAATGTTTTTTTAGTTTGCACCAGAACCTCAATTGTCATGCATGAGTCCTCTTTACTTCTGAGTTCCTGTACATGACCTTGCTTTGAGTAAACTATTCTACAATGAAAACAAATAAATGGTGAGAAAATATAAAATATGGCATCTCAAAATTTGATTATTTCACGTAACGTTTGAGATAATGATTGAAGATACCTAACTAACTACCGGTAACTACTGCTCATTTTCTACTGTCCTTGTGTTAGTGGATAATATTCATTGACTGCAAGGATATAAAATAAAATATTAAGATGGCTATATTGAGTGGTTCTAAAGCCTCGCATAAATTTAAAAAAAAAATTTCTGTATCGTATAGTCGGCTGAAAGGTAACGTACGGGATAAAATAGCAATTATTGAGAACACTAGGATAGGATAGGATTTACATATTTATCCCGGGGGAGAGGAAAGCCGATAAGACAGCTTAATCATATGGCGAACCACGGCCTCTCGTCCGGTTACTAGTCCAGGTCGGGTATGGGATTAGTTAGCCAGGTATTCGTTTTCAGAAGCATGGACTTGATGGTGGAGGAAGCCATAACCGACCAGCGGTTACGTGAACCACCCTACGGCGGCGAGGAGTCCAGCAATCCTCTCGCACATGATCATCCCCGCATGGGATCCGAACCTGCTATCCCATGAAGGGTAATCAGAGATGCGGTGGCGAGCCTATTCCTAATGCTTAGCACGATGCGCCACACCGTCGATATTTTCATTTGCCTTTTTGTAATGTGGGAGTAAAGAAGATTAGTCGAAGTGATCCAAGAGCCAAATATATTTAGGTAACGTTTTGTCTGACCAAACTCAGACTTCGGCAATATAAATCTGGCCAGACGAAACTTCCAGATATGTATTTGTTTTCAAGTGCCATGGGACTCTGGGATAAGGATACTAATAATACTGAAATGCAAATAAGCATAAAAATAAACAAACCTGTCCGAGGGCGACATCTTGTAACACAGAACAGAACAGGGAGCTGTAAGCAGCTAGAAGTGATTTATGGAGGGAGAATTGCTGGCCTGCAAGAATAAAAAAAATGAATGCTACAGGACCTTATGTATAGATACTATGGCCTAGTACACTTCTCCCCAAACAATAGACAACAAGTGAGCTTACCTGCTACTATCACAGTCACGTCAGTAAACTCCGAAGCAATTCTTTGGTAATTCAGTTTTTCAAGAGTTTTAGCTGGATGGGCATCACAATGTATCACCATCTGAACATGGAAAAATAATAAGACATTTTAGGGCACTCTTGTTACTGCTACACCACAAATTAGTCGATTCAAGTTTATTATTTCTAGCCAGTAAAATAGTCAGTATAGTATAGCTTTTATACTGTACATAAAATTAATCAACTAATATATTTAGAAATATATTAATATTTGAGATTATATTAGAGAGCCATTAAACCAGGGGTGGGGGTGCACAGCCCTTTTGCTATTGGCGGCCAAATTGCATTTATTTGGATTCAATACGGCCTACAGCGGGTCGATGATCGAAAGTCGGGGAGGGGGGGTCGGGGCGGTCGCCCCAATTTTCCTGTTCAAAAGTATAATAAAATGTCAAACATTTTAATGAATTTATTCTATAAAAGTTTACAAAGCATAGCCGCCAAATCCTATATTTTGAACCTTTTTTTTCGTTTATAGGATTTTGTATGTGGACGGTCGCAATATTTTTTACGACGGCCGCAGGTTGTGCACCGTTGCATTAGACTATAAGATTGTGATGGCATTCTTCACTTCAGCTGGCATTGCTTGAAACATGGTTTGGGGAATTTTTGAAAGTGACCTAGGTCAGGAAATATAGCCACATGGTTGCAATGGTGAAGTGTAGGGCATTTAGATACAATATCCCTGGACAATAAATCAATTAAAATTAAATTGACTCACAAAAGGTTTTTATAGTAATGAATAGTGTTATTTGATCACTGTATATACAGTACAAATGTACCATACACTGCAATGATAACCGGTATGGTAACGTAGCTTGTGCTGATGAAGATAGGATAGGTTATATATATTTATCCCAGTCAGCCAGTCGCCCATATATAATTGAAAGGAAAGCGTTTTCAAGTCCATTGACATCTAAGCAGATCCACAACATATATAATGCCATTGTTTGAAAACTGAATGGCTAAAATTTCAAATGTAAATTTAGGTATAATAACTTAAAAATAACTTAAAATGTATTATACTCAAAGTCCAGAATTGTTTATATTTTCTTTAGTGGGAGCTGTTGAGCGATTTGATATCTGCTTCAAATTTAACTGCCAGTCTGATAGTAATCACTGCCCTGACTGCTAGACTATTTATGAATAAAACTTATAAACAACTCAAACACATTCTAAAAAAATCTGCCCAAATCTGTTATTTCAATGTGGGTGGGAATATCGTTGCAATCAATCTTTTGGTACTTCAGCTTTGATTTCTTCCTGCTTTTTTACCCCCATAAGATAAAGGAGTTAGGCCCATTCTGGTTTCAACAACTTTTGAAATTTTTTTGCATAGGCTGATGTACGGTAATACTGTAATACGTGGCCGCTTAGGCCCAAGTTGCACTGAACAAATTCTGGGTCTCATGTAGTTTCGAACCTTACATACTTCTAGTGGGCGTAGCACAACAAATTTTCCCCGTGTCAATCCTAACCCCCGCCCGACTACATCATCCAAAAACTATTCACTACGACATAATAGAGCCCTTCAAACTATACGAACTGTCATCCAAGACGCGCAGACGAGCACCCAAAATCGAACAGCTATTTCTCTCGTTTTCTCGTCGCAAAGATCCCAATATGAAAGAGATCGATGACGTTAGTCAGTTTTTTATCATCGGCGCCGATGCCATTTCGGGCGATCATACGTATATTGGGCAAGCTCTATGACGAGACTGGGATGTCGTAGTGACGTAATTTCTGGATGGCGTAGTCGGATAAAGGTTAGGATTGACCTTTCAAAAAATTGTTACGCTACAGCCACTAGAAGTACGTTAGGTACGAAACTATACACAAGACCCCAAACTCTTAGGGATGTAAGTTTCGGACATCTTGTAGAGCATAGGTTCTCAAAGTGCTCCGTACGGAGCCCCAGGGCTCCGCGAGAGAAACCCAGGGGCTCCGCGAGCTATCCGATTACTTTTCAAAATAATGACTAGTTTTGTAAACTGTTCAAAGAAACCAATTAACAGCTTTGATAAAATTTGACAACAATATAGCTCGAAATATGGCAAGAAGGCGGAATTGAAAAATGACATTATTTATGAGCTGGAGCGCAGCCAGGATTCTTCAAGAGGTGGGGATTTTGAATCGGAAATTTTCGCGCAACATTCTTTGCGATTAAAAAAGCGGATAAGGAGATTTCTGTTGCGTAAAATATTCAATGTATGGCCGATGCAAGCATTTAAAGTGTCTTGTCGTAAATATTCAATTGTACTCATAGTTAACTCAAGTTTTCATTCAGAGTTACTATTAGGATTTACTAAATGAAAGAATACTATTCTTACAAATAACATAAACACGTGATAAACTGCCAACTTTAATAAATGGAGTCAGTATTTTTGCGATTTCGAATTTGTCAAACTTGATTTGTTTTTTTTTTGTTCTTATTATTAAGCAAGATATCGCCGTTTTAAAAAATCACAAAATCTGGGGCAAAAATACGATTGTAAATTTTTTATGCAATGCGGCTCCGTCGGTAGTTTCCAGAATAAAAAAATGGTTAAATCGCGCACACAATTTGACTGTGTTTCGATTTCGCAGTTACTATAACGATGAATAAACCGAAGAAACCTAACATTACAGCCAAATTTTTGTGATTTACAATGCCTATAAACGTTTTTAATCTGAACGGGAGTCTGCTAAACCAAACTTATAGTGTGATCTTTTATTTTAAGTTTTAATATTTTGAATGCCGTTTTTCAATCAAGAAATTTGAGTTGCGGATTTACCTCTTTATTATTAATTATTATTTTTAGCATTTCGTCGCCGATGACTATATGGTAACATGTTTTTCACATTGAACTCATAATTCCCCACGAGAACAAAAAAGCAATTATCGTCGTCATTGTGGAACAATACATGTATATGCCGAAGAAAATTTTTGATTTAGGGAGAATAAACACCGGCGTAAAGATGTTTAAAAACATGCCATGCTGACGAAAACTATCGGGGATTGTAACAAAATGCAATCGCGCACGTTATTAGCAGCCGTTTAAGTCTTCCGAAAATGTCAAAAGGGAAAAGATTCGACCCCTAGTTTATTAATATTTTTGTCAAGTGTCAAATTTACAGCTTTAGTAATAGTATATATAATTTATCTTTGAAATTTTGATTTATTTATGACTTGCATTAACCCCATTAAAAAAGGTTTAGCATTTAAATTAAGTTAAGTACTTTTAACTTACTCAGGAATATTTATCGGAAAGCTACAATTTTAACATTTTTTTTGGGGCTCCGCGAATAATAGTCAACCTTTTCAGGGGCTCCGCAACACCAAAAGTTTGAGAACCCCTGTTGTAGAGCATGGTTCAAAATCCCAAAATATTAAAAAAAAAAAGTAAAATTTCAAAAATGGCACTGGTGAAAACCAATCTCGATAGGCACAACTAAGCTGAGCAACTACTGAACTAGGATAGGATAGGATAGGATTTACATATTTATCCCGGGGGAGAGGAAAGCCGATAAGACGGCTTATCCATATGGCGAACCACGGCCTCTCGTCCGGTTACCATTCCAAGTCGGGTATGGGATTAGTTTTACTGTATTGTTTGTTTTCGGAAGCATGGACTTGGTGGTGGAGGAAGCCGTAACCGACCAGCGGTTACGTGAACCACCCAACGACGGCGAGGAGTCCAGCAATCCTCTCGCACATAACCATCGCTGCATGGGATTCGAACAACTAAGCTGCCGGCTGACTGGTACAAGACTCTGCAGTAGTGTAAACCTACGGTACCATATATCTATTTTAGCAATAAAACTGTCTTAAAAACGCTGGTCCCGTATATTTTATATATAAAAAAACCTAAAGGGAGCAGAAAGGTAGATGCAAAAATAGGGGAAAACCCACTTACTTTTATGATTTTGGGATGGAGTCGGAAACTACCTCCCGAAACTGATGTTTTTCTTGATGGACGCGAGGTATGATTATGCCGTAATCACGTGACATCGAATTTCACAGGGCATCGATCATGTTTACTCATGTGAAACAGCGGAAGCACACAAATATATAAATTTATCAAACGTTCAAAACCAATGAATATTTTCATATAAAGAGTAAGTTGAAAAGTTATATTTAATTTCATTGGTATGATTGGACTAGCCAACCAAGCAAAATACACATACACATCATGCAACATATCCAATTAATAATGTTTTAATTAAATTTTAAAAAACATTTATAATAAATTCAGGTCAGATGTAAAGCTCTTCTGTTACGTAAAATCGATTTACAAATGTAGTGTTATACTCATTACTTCACAATGGGAACATTTACTCGAACGACTTATAAACCACAAAGATGGACCCACAAAGGTAGCCTACATAGAACGATTCCAGGGGGGGGGGGGGGGGGGGTAACAAATAAAGTGCCAATTACATTAAATGAATATATTTCGTTTAAAGTTGATGCACTTTTCATATGTAGTTGGATAAATTGAAATAAACGAAAAAGCACCTCTTAGATTAGCGCTTGAATTAGTGGTAAAATAGATCTCGATGCTTGTGAATAACAAGCAGTCACAAGGTTCTCACTGGAACCTCTGTTAGTGTTTTTTCCGTTAATTGTTGTTAGAGAATTAAAAACTTGAATTCATTTGCACCATGATTTGACTTACCGGTAACATATCATAACTACACCTAAGGGATTTGCTCGTGAAATCGAAATTAATATGCAAACTTAGTATCCGAACCAAACAAAATGAAAAGCTCAGTCTCGACAAGCAAGGGTCACAGGCTAACGTTTTGGCAGTCCGAAATTGAATATGGTAATAATAATGAGTAGGCTACACCTAAATTAAATAGTTTTACATGTGCTTGCTAGAAAAGCAGAAAAATTGAAGGTCGAATGAGATCACGAATAAAATGAGTGGTTAATCATTTCCTATTTCTTTTGGGTTATAGGTTGTTTTAGGTTCTATTTTATTCCTATTTTGACACCCACACCACGGAATAAGGCCGACTTAGGAATGAAAAATGTTTGACAGTTATGTTGCTATTTGTAACCTTCAATTGATAATTTATTAGTTCAAAATATGTGGGTTTAATTTTGGAGATTTATATTCATAATTTTGCATTGCGCATGCATTAATACGCATGCATAATAATATACCGACAGATAATACGACCAAGGGCGTGTTTAGGCATGTCGCAGGCTTTTATCAACTACGAGAGAAGATTATGGCGAGAGTCTGCATATTTCCTATTAGTACAAATCGCATGTTCAAAACAAAATTGGTAATAAAATCCAGATTTCTAAAAATAATTTGAAACTAAACAAAAACAAGTGTCGGTCGGTTAAAGGCTAATAAATAGTTGAAATCAAAACAAGATTAAATGTTATTGCGAGGGTGACATCACATTTGCACTAGTAAACTGCTCCCAGGACATTTGCACCTACACAACCTTGCACCCACCAACATTTGCACCCACGGACATTTCCACCCACATATTTTAACACCCACCTATAGATTGCACCGGCGTACATTTGCTTCCATGGAGATTTGCACCATGAAGATTTGCACCCATAGACATCTTCAGGCATATATATTTGCACCTATGAACATCTTTACGCGCGGATATTTGCACCCACAGACATCAGCACCCACCTGCATTTTCAACCATGGACATTTGCATCCATGCACATTCGCATCTATACGTATATTACCACCCACGCACGTTCCCCCCCCCCCCCATTTCGCACGTTCCCGCGCATTTGCATCCACATACATTTGTACCCATGCACATTTGCATCCACGGACATTTGCACCGTGTTTATTTCTACACATATACGTTTGCACCTATCAACACATTCACCCGTGGATATTTGCACCTATATACATTTGCACCCACAGTCATGTTCGCTCGCGAATAACTGTTTTTCAGACAAATTTTAATTAGTAAGTATAATTATATATTGGAAATTGAGACAGATTTCAAATTTTAGGTAACCTGTATTCTTGGTTACGGCCGCTACGTATTTAGAGTCATTGCGAGTAATAATCAGTTCCTATATTTGTCGCTCATTTTCTTTCAACGAAATAACGCAACCGTAGTCGAATTCGCGGTGGTGTTGGTTAATGGTCAATGATAATGAAAACCGGTTGGCGGTTATGGATAAATTCATCACGCCAGCGTTAAAAAAATTTGTTCGAAACAAGATGTTGTTCATTTGTCGTTTAATTAAACTTCCAACTATGCTAGCTAGCCATTAGTTTTATCCATTTTCTCGACACTCCACCCGAAATTCAATGTAATCCCTCCCATTCATTTCGGGATCAGTGACGGTTTAGAACCGGTCGCAATTTTATTATCAATAACAATAGATACGATGAGGTTGAAAATCGAGACAAATATTACATAATCACAAGAATTTTAGTTTGAATTGGAGTTATGGTTCATTCAAGACATGGTTCTACTAATAGAAAAACAAAAAGGTCATCTTAGGACACCGGATAAGCACTGTGGCCGCTCGATAATAGCATTTGAACATGGGAATAAACAGCGCCTCGGAGTGTAGATTATCAAGTAAATAGCCTGGCAGAATTGCCCCCGCGACATGTTCAAGAACAACAAGACAATAAAAGAAAAGTATGGTCTTGGTATTAAGAATGAATAAATCACTGCGTTGAATCTGTTGAATATTACTCAGCCCGAGGGATCAAAAGCATAATTTAATCTGGATGAAAATTTTGTTTAAAACAATTCAAAATTGGGATACGTATATTGAAACTGCTTTTTATCAATTATATTATATGTTATGTATATATCAATATTAGTGAATTGATGACCAGCTGATGATAAATGTATAAAGAATACGATTGTTTCTGTGTTTTGAAGCTGTACCTAGTCAAACGCATAGCTTTTTCCACGATCTAAAATAGAGAGGCATTTTCAATAACAAGTTCAAAATTCAGTGGTTCCCAGTCGCGGGACTTCGAGGAGTCTATGACCTTTGCATGCTAAATATGAAAAAATAACTAGACAAGTGAAACTACTTGCATTTCGATTAACTTATTTATTTATCGAACCACCTCAAATGAGGCTTATTCATAAATGTGTCGAATAGTTTCTTATCAACAGAAAAGTATTTATTTTTCAACAAAATTGTATTTAGTCTGATTACACATATATATTTGCTTTGATAATCCAAAATTCAAATAAATATTTTCTGTTGCTCAATAATCAACAGATGGCTAACAGTGCTTCATACCTAGCTAGATATGAAAAGTAATTATAATTGCAGTTCTCCCAAACAGAAAAGCGAATTCCACAGACGTGTCGGCGTAAATGCGTGTGTGGTATGAATGTAAAATGGAATTTTAAGAATTCGTAGTATTTGGTGTCAGACAGTTTAAAACAAACTATAGAGAAGATTACATCCACTTTATGTACATTTTATTGTTTCGTAACCAGAGTAATGAAGCATTGTGTCCCCAGATCTTGGAAGAGTTTTGGCCTTCTGCTTACACATCTTATTCAAAGATGATTTCAAAGCCATCAAAATAACTTTATTTGTATCTTCCTTGCTATAACAATATGGATATTCTGTTTTATGGAAATTATATATACAGCAAAAAAAAACATGAAAGACTTGACGGAATCCAGATGTGGTTGGTAAAAGAGGAATCTCCTTTCCATTTTATTTACTTCCAGAAATTTACACATTCATCCTAAGAAAGCAAAATAAATGATTTATGAACTTTGTTTTGTAATGACTAGTGCGCCGCAACTTTTCCCTGATTTTTTAGACACTTACTGGGAATACTTGAGGTCCACCTTATTATCAGAGAAAAATCCAATTGACAAGTTTTTTGTAATTGTTTTTATCCTATTTTATATCATATTTATGTTGGCAATAGCAACCGTACATGAATTGCAAATAATGTTCATGTAAGATTGAAAATAATTTTACCTCATACAGAAACGTTATTGTCTGGTTGGGATATTTTGCTGCAAAAAGTTACGTCATCATAACGCCCGGAAACTTTTGCAGGGCTGGGAATTTCCCAATGTTATTTTTGCGTTGTAATGAATTAAATGGCACATGTATATTTCCTCTGCGTTTGCTATATTAACAAAGGAAACACAAAAGTCAGACAAAATATTGGAATTTTCACTTGAGCGGAATATTTTATCTGATGCTTCGAAACTTTGGTATGCAAAACTAGAATGAAAGATTCTGTTAAAAATATTGCACCTATCAACTTGCGTTTTTTGTTTAATAAAAGCTCAAACTTTAAACAATATAATCAATTGGCTCTTTGGGCGACAATACATCTGTGTTCATTACTTGATCAGAACGTGAGTGAATGTGAAAAAGGAAAGTTATCGGATTGTTTTCAGCAGTCTATTCTAGACCATTTTTGGATCCGGAGTGTGTTTGTTGTCAAATATAAATAGTAGCTCGGGGAACGAAATGTATTCTCGGATAAATCTAGATCAGTGGTCCTTCCGCAAGGATTTTATGGCAACTCAACCGCTAGTTTACCTAAATTACGCAAGATTTAGAAAATTTGTATTTTTTTATTCGTAATCAAACGTGTTGTCATCCATCGTTAAATTTTTGTTTCCAGTAAGTGATTTGCTGGTGATGCTAATATCGAACAAAGTGCTGTCATATTATATAAGTTTAAACGCTCGACCCAAATGCGCGTTTGGTGGCTAGTAAAGTCGAACACTCACACTGCTTGTAAACTTGTTAATCGTTTGCCAATATATTATCACTGAATCTGTTGATAGCTGAAAAAGGTTCAGATTGAATGTTTTAGGAGAACCAACTGAACACACCGAATTATACGAGATACCGAAGAGGCAAAGCCTATAAAGGGGGCATTCCGTATGCTTCGGGCCCATGATTTTATTTTCATGCTTAGTTTTTCTTTGGAATTGTTGATGGAAAAACCTGTAATATTTTAAGATTCTTCTAAAATTAAATAACACGATGATGTAATATTCATAACTGCATTCGAGAATATTCGCCAAATAAAAATACGTTCCGTTGTTATTCCAGATTTTAAAGAATATTGCTGGCCACCTGATCCACTGTTTTACCATAACTCCCCGATTTCCCCGATGCCTGACCGAAGTCTTCATTGCCATTATATTGCATATCGTGGCATTATTGTCATTTTCAAAATTCGCTTAGGTTCCAGGAAATTTACTTCTAGAAATATTGAGTTGTGCAAAATAGGTTTCCCAAAAGAATTATTACGCGACCCATGGGTCACGCTGTCGGTGCGTAAACGTTGTATTCATATCGCGTGATTATACAAATTATTGCTTGTTTTGTCCTCTCCTGTATCTTGCCCTGGGTCCGAGAAGATATTTTTTCAGATAATAACTGTTCATCAGGGTAGAAAAGTTTGGAACCAATAATCTAGATAAAACACACAAAGAATTTCGGTCGATTGAAATAAGAGACAATGAAGATTATTGAAGTAATTGTTATCGTCCGTCTATTCGGAGGTGAGTTTGTGTACACATTTGCAGTTCTGTACTGATTTTTGTTTCATGGTTTGAGGGGAATTAATTTTGTTTTTAATCGTAATATATACAGTATTCAAGTTGATATTGTTTAATTCAATAAGGTTTGTAATGACCCCAGTCATTAGGCACGAATCGATTCATATGGGGCGGCGGCATCACAATAATATAGCTTGGGCTCTCGATCTAGCATTATCTTGGTTTGTTGTTCTTTTGCACGACCTCTAGAAAATATGAAAATGATTCAACTCCATTCCAACTGACGGAATAGAATACAAGGTGAAAAAATGCTGGACTCAATTGACTTTTACTCAATTTTAAATACGCCACGCATCAGAAGGTGTTTGGTTTCGCTCATCGGTTATCATTGTAGAATTGTACACAGTAGACGAAATTCTACTGATCAATTTCGTTCAAGATTACTATCTAATAAATTAGTGACTCGTACTCTTCAACTTTGGCAAATCATGTCAAATGACAATCAATTTTCGTGAGAAAAGAAAAGATCTATTTAGATATTGTGTTCGATTGCAACTCTTCTGTCAATACTCTCGTTAACTATAAGCTCGGTGTCTTATTTTGAACAAACTTTTCTAAAAAACATTATTGATTGATGTACCTTTATTCAGTTGTCAGATGTCAAAACTTATTTACTGATCTATTTGACTGGACAAACAAATTTTCTAACGAAATCACGTCAGGTAAGATTTTTCTGTCATTTTTAGTTGATACGCTGTGGTATTTATTCAAGTAAGAGGAAGGTAGACACCACAGTCAAATATGGGCCGAACCACGCTTACTAAGTCAGGTCATTTCTGAGAATTGTTAGCCAACTCATTTTGTACCAGATACCTAAATTTAGATTGTAGAGGCTCATACATCGGTCGTGTTCTATCTATTGAAATTAACGGAGTAGTTTAGGGGGCGCGACACGCAATGGTGTTATAATAAAATGCCGGAATATATAACTGTATGGTATGCCCGTGGGCCGTGACATAGCACGATGTGATTGGAAACTATTGCTGATGCGACTCGTGTCTTCAACGAAAGTACTGAACTTTATCACGATTAAATATTCAATACTTTTGTCTTTACAGGAAACAATAATCCTTTTATCAGTCACCTCTCCATCGAATTGATCATGATAATCATCGGTTCCGTTGTAGCGTTTGTGGTGACAGCAGTTGTGATAGGAGTCTATATTTGTAAAGAAATGAGGTACCTCTTTTTTATGAGATATTTTATACCCTTAATTTTTAAAGACTCCAGTTAAGCGCAGATGTTGTGAACTATTGTGTTTTTCTCTAACGGTAATCTTTAGATTTTTTCAGAAAACCAAGGCAACATGAAGATAGAGAAAGTTTCACAATGCGTTTCCGCAACAGGATGTTCGCACTTCGAACACCTCCTGTTCCCCCTCCAATGTATTCTGATACCGCCGAACCATCACATAATTCACTACCGATGGATTCCTACCAGTATGTCAATCCCATACAGCACCTGCACAGTAGACAGCATATGGAAAACATACCAGGCGGGAGTGGAATGAAGAGTGTTGACTCTGCAGAACCAAATTCCATTTACACAGAAACAGTGCGTTCTTCACCGACAACACGCCCGCGCCTACCAAGTCCCAGCAAAACGGTGAATACGAATATGGGGAACGATGTAAGACCGCCTATGTTGCCTCCCATGTATGATGACATCAGTGAACAAGGTCCTAAATCTATTCCAGGACAAAAAAATAACGGACCTGTAGCTTCCGATGAATATTGGGACTTTAACAACAGCGCTTCGAGTCAAATGACTAAAACGCATAGTGGAAACAATGTCGAACCCCTTACCCCAGCTATGTATGAAGACATAAGCAAATGAATTAGTGTCCCTGCAATGCAATAAATACAAACACAAATAAGCCGGCTAGCTCCAGTGAAATTCAGAACGTCAACACTACGGTGAATCCGAGACCAATGAAAGATTTGAGAGGCGTGACCAAAACAAGTCCAATTCAAGAACCCTCCCCCTTTGTGCAGGATGACGATGGCTGATAAAATGTTGAGCTTCTTGTCGAATAGCGAATATGAAAGACGAATAAAATTTCATAAATTATGTAAAAAAATATTATTGCGTGTTTTCTTTTGTGTGATGAGGTAACCTTTTTAAATTTAGTTATTCACCAACTCCATATCATGGAGTGAAATCTCTTTCTGACGCAGCACCTATTTTATTGTAAGTTCAATATTTATAAACCATAATAAAGCGAGTTGGTTAAAAAAAAACAGTTCGACAGAAGAGGTCAAACAATTTGCAATGCACTAGTGAATATCATTATCGTTAGTTGAGACATTATGTTATTTTATATGAATTCTATTGTCTTTTATGAATATTGTAATATAATTGTATTTATATTAATATAAGTCGAAAGAAATATATAAAAATGCATTTATTACAGTTTACCAAGTTTGTATAAGTTCGAGTGGTGAGATTTGGAGAGTTAGCTTCGTGGAACAAGCCGTTCGGAGCATAAACAATTGCTCGAGGATAGCTAACTTAATGAACTTTTGAGCTTCGATATATTCCAGCCGAGTAGGATCTGCAAGTAGAGGTTATCTCTTATAAGTTGATTTAGGAAATTTTCTTGAATGTATTGTGGCTTACGATGGTTCCGGTCATGTAATGCATTTTATAAACTGCAGTAATTCCCTTGTGTTGCGCCCACAATAAAGCGAGCCATGGCGTCTTGTTTACCGTCTGCAACATTAAAAACCATATCTTGAAATATGGAGAATTATTGTAAAATGATGAATGTCTGCTCTATTCAAGAATTTTAAAACTCTGTAATATTAATTGTCAGATAATCGCAACAAAATTCATTGATCAATGGACACCCCTCATGGCCCAATTACGGGAATAGAACGATTTACTTCGGTGTTGTATGTATATTTATTAAGTTTCTCGGTCAGCACGAGTATGAACGATTCCGCAAAAAATCTGTAGTAACAAAAGTTTTAGTTTAGCTACTCTACATAACTTACTCTGTCACGGTTGGATCTTGATATTTTATTTCTGTATTTTGGGAAGGAACGCTAATGACAATCTTAATCAAATAGAAAAGCACGGCCTACCATAAGATTACAAATGCAGTGTGATGTGACCTAAAACATATCGAAGAATTCTGGAGCAAAGAGCCTACGACCAAAAGAGAACATATTTACATGTTTTGTCGAAGCAATGTTTCAAATTTAGATTATTACATAAAATATTATGCTGATACTAGCTACACGCAATTATACATGATCTGTAAATAATGGTCATGTGAGGCGGGAAAAGTTTTTTTGTCTTTCATTGTTGAATCTTTCATTGTTTGCTGCAAAATACTAACATACGTACGATTTTGCAATCTTTGTATGGTAATTGTAACTATGGCTGGGATTTTCAGAAAATTTCCTAGCTGGCCAACAAACAAAATTGACCTATTAACCGCTTCCGGTTTTTAATGACTTGCACAAAATAACATCTTATAGTTTTTGTATAGTGTCACAAGGGAAAATTGCCTTCTTATACTAGGAGATTATTGCTCAAAATTGTCCATGGGTTGAAATATTGTATTTTTCAGCTTAGATAGTATAGATGTTACATTATAATATTCAATATTTCGTTTCCATGCTTCGACTTACTTCGCGCGAATTTTTAAGGAGTTCGCGGTCTTCTAATGATTTCCAAGTTTGTTGTACATTAAAAGCATATATATGGGTGATTTCTTGAAATCCTTTCCTGCAATCAAATTAGCACAGAATGAAGAACTTTGATGTTTTTTTTACCATATCCGACAGTACCTATACAAGTCATCAAAATAACATTTGTAAGTAGGAACAACGTGAACATCCCATTTTCAATGTGTACATGTCGTTACTGACATTTTGTCAACTTTAACGCATATGCAACTTATGTCGAAACTTTTTTATAGCACTTTGTTTTGAAATCTTCCGACAGTGTTAGGCTACTCAATTTGAGGCTACTGTACAAATGACTTTGTCGAATATGTTGTTATTATTAGGAATCTTTGCGGATCTTTCGTACCCTGCAACATGATCCTGCGTTTCCCAAATTTTTGTGCCAGCGATGCTTAGATGATTTTTTATCTAGCAAACGCCCCCTGACTGAAGTAGACGTTAAACCCATTCTCCATTTATACATAGCGAAACGCCGCCAGCTTATCAATATCCGGCTTCAATTTAGTCAGAAACAGCCCTATGTTTCTTAACTATGTTCAGTGCGGTTCCTCTTGTCATTTGAATCGTGGTTATGGCACTCACGTATGAGAAAATAAATCTTTACCCTAATGTGAGAATATTTCAATTTGGTTCCATTCAAAACGAATAATTTGAAACACTGAACTTCTGTTTGAGTTTAAATGCGATTTAGAATTCCATAGATATTGATGAATAGGTCAATTTCCCACTCCGGGATCTCTAATGAAATACTTCATAGAAACGAATTTCCATGTCAGTGTGTAATTAATAAATATCTACAGTCTACCTTTCTACATGAATATTATATATGTCTCGGCCACTGGTATCAAGTTGTTGCAAGCTTGGGAATTGGAAAATTCTCGTCTAGTAAAACTTCGCTGATACACCACGACTTCGTTATTGGACCGAAACATTGCCGATTCCATTTTTATCAGGCTGATTTCGTCTCCATGAAGAAAATTCAGGAGATTTATACAATATGTCTGTCAAGTAGGTCTAAGCGATGTCATTTTTGTGCGATAACATTTTTCATCCGGATTTTCTCCAGATCCAAGTAGTTTACTTTTTTACCAAATTGAAATGCACTTGATACGAATGGCCCCCGGTTGAGAACCACTGCTATACACCATTTGAACTAAGGAGCCCTGAACAATACAGTAAATTGAAGAAAGAAATCCAAGAACATTTCTTTAAATATATTAGAAATAAGAGAATTAAATACAAAAATTATAAATGGTAAACTAATGTAACCTTAAATACCTGTTGGTAAGAAATATGATATGTAAGGAATGCAGAATTGTAAGCATCTTTTTGACGTCTACACTGGTACGAACATGTCATGTCACGCCAAAAGATTAATATTTGATAAGGAACTTTTATGAAAAGAAAAACATTGGGTTTGATAGCCAGCACCCAGCATGATCACACAAACGAAAATAGTACCTATTACCACAAAGGGTCCAAATGATGAGAGACTGTCAAAAAGGTATAAGGATCATGCATACTCAAAATTTGCTGTGCCACCTACTGCATAACGTTGAAGAAAAATTGGAAGTTTTGCGGTAATCAAAATAATTGAAAGCACTGTACAACTACGAAAATCATTTTTTTCGCAAGTTGTATTTCACGTCAAATATAAATCAAACAAAATTAGCATCTTGGAAAAATATTTGAAAAGTAGTATCGAATGATTTGCAAATAAAATTAAAATTTCAAACGTTAGAGCCTGAAATGTATCATTGTATGATTTATCAATCAATTTTCAGATTTATCACCAATTTTTGAAATCTGTTTTAGTGAAAATATTAAACCATGAGAAATCGATGAATTTTGATCATGGATAGTTGAAACAAATTAGAGTTTCACAGTAAATTGAAAAGCAGGAAGAGCAGTGAAAGAACTCACAGATTACTCAACAAATTAAACAACTTCGCCCTGGTTATCACTCTTGTTAAATTCAACCCAGTCCCTGGCAATGGGGGCTGATAGCATATTATCTGTTATCTTGAATGCCTCGCAAAGCCTTAAACTCACTGGTCCAAGCTTGTCACACAGAGAAGTAACTACTTCATTGACCTGTTGAAGGTTAATTAGAAAATTGAGTTATTATCCACGCTTCTCTTTACCAATATAGTTTGGGTCAGTTTCCCACAACCAGTGCTCAGAGGATGAATGGGGCTAAGGCTGCAGCAACCAGGACGGCCAACTTTGGGTGATTTCAGTGCATACTTTGAATTTCCAAACTACTTCCACATAACACGAAACTTAAGGTTTTGTTGCTCTCTACGAATAATGGATTTTTATCTAGAGCACCTGTTTTTAACCATTGGGCCATGGCCAAGAATTTTTTGTTTTTCTTGTAGTTTTCCCTAGCATGAAAAAGTTAATGGGCCACAGAAGTTTTGTGCAACGAAAAATGGGCCATTAAAAATAAAGAATTAAGAACCACTAAAGATAATAAAATGCTCGACAAATTTCTATAAACATCCCATAAGTAAAACAATCGCACCGCATTTCTAATTAAATTTGATTTGTCAAATTTGGTGGTCTTCTTGTGAAATTCAGCTTGATTCGAATTGCATACATAAATGAAGTAGATGCTCTTTGGGCATATTTATTTGGCCTATTTTGTTTCTTAACGAGATTTTAACAACACTTTAAATATGTAGTGAACTAGTGGAGTTGATTAAATAGCTGTTGGTGAGCTATGTATACAGTTTTATATTTACAAAGCATGCACCTATTGTGTTTTAATTTAAATAATTTTATATATATTAGAGTAGGGTTGTTGTGACACAAGTAACTGCTGGTGATTAATTGTGAGCTCAGTTCATTACAATTCAAATCTCAAATGAGTCAGATGGATTTATTTTTTAGCAAAGTTATGATATACCATTCCATAACGTTTCATGAGTCTTTGCTGAGAATGGGAATTCAAGAAAAATATTTAGCATAAGACCAGTTTGCCAGACATATGTGAAAGGTGGTACGCAAGGTGATTCTTTTGGACCCATTGCATAAAAAGGGAATATTTTAATTTCCTTGGTATTCGCACAACCAACTATGCTCAGAGTGGCAATTCATTGAAGATTAGAATTATTTCTTTCTGTACCTACCTTTAGGCCAGATTTGGGTGGTAAAAGTTCATTACCAATAAACCATCCCATGTCCCGCTGAATAGCATCAGCCAGATAAAGATGATAAAGTTGTTTTAGCACCGGTTTGGATGAAGAAGGAGTATCATCAGACTCAAGAACTCTGTGGAAACTCTCACTTATAACTCGTTCACCAAAAGAAGTTGCTGATAGCTTAAAATAAGACATTTATATTTAAAAATGACTCTCACTATGACATTAAACCTGTAAATTAATTAGAATTAATGGATGACTATTATATACCAATACCATGTTAAAAACTTTTGGCAATATACTTCTTATTTCACAGAAATTCGTTGAAATGGCTAGATTTTATTCCTCAAAGCAAAATCAATGGAATTTAGTAAACCATAAATGACGCACATACATGGCTATCACAATCTCTTTTCGGATTATATTAGTCAAAATATTTTTATTTATCAATCTAAAATGTACTAAGATTTGTACCATTGTACTTCTTGTACAAATTGTATTCACATGTATTATATATTTTTCTGCTGTTTACAACAACATATTACACGGATTAGTGTTATGATAATAATGTTGAAATAAAATTAAAGTGTATTTTACTTGAACTAAATCACTTTCCTTCATCATCCATGTATCAAACAAATGTTCCTTCCCAGCTTTCATCATAACTTCCCCCAGTTGTGAAAATGCCTTATTTTCTCTTTCCACTAACAAGTAGTGAAGATAGTCAGCATTTGATGGATCTGAGAAAAAAATTATAGATGAGGTCATATTTTTTGTTTTGAATAACTCCTCAATTATGCAGACGAAATGGTCTCCCTGAGAAGATGTTGAATAGCTGAGAGAATGTGCTTTTGTTGAAACAAGGTTCTGGTTCCATTAACAGCAAGGTTATTGAATATTCATATGTATGAAAGCCTGTATAAATTCTTGTTCTAAGCAAATTTGTGTAACACAAGTTAGAAAAAAATGCCAAATTGTGCGGGAACAAACATGCACTGATTACCTACCTTCATCAGAAGGCTTGTCGAATTTCAATGGCTTAAACACCGTGAGTCGCTCTTTGGCTGCTTTCTAAAATTGATGAAAAAGGAATACAGTTTTTACAAAAACAATTTAGGTGTATGAAACACAATTTAGGCGTAATAAACCGGCCAACCAGCAAAGATTAAGGTGCGGGAATGATGAAATTTAAGTAATATTTATCAACACATAATGAATACAAATTCAAAAATTCTGCGGATTAAGACTAACATTACAAGATAAGGCAGAACCAAATTTTTTTTTGTCAGAGGTGAGGGATTCATGAATATGACATTAAAAGTTCCCACCTGCATTAGAACTTTGTTATCTCCTTCAGCTGTCATTGCTGCATGAGCAAGTTCAATAAATTTTCCGAATCTATTGCACGATAAATAACCCTGCACATATAAAATTATTGTTGACAATGAGATATGAATACTGAACATATAATATAAAAATACTGATGAGTGACATCTGACTCAAATAGCAATAGCAATCTTGAAATTCAGGACTACAAGGCATTAAAGTTTTGCAGCCCTATTCAAAAGTGATGCTAGGTTCACAGAAATGAATACAGTACTATTTTGAATACAGTGTACATGAAAAGAACTTTTATACCAACCTAAGGAAGGATGGTTAATAAAGAGATCAATCAAGATAGGGCAATTTTGAGTTTTAGAACTATACTCAAGTTTTAGAACTTTTGTGATACTGCACTGCATTTAGGTTGATGTATTATTGTATCATTGAATACAACAGAATATTTTAACATAAAAAAAAATACCAATACAAAGTATTTTAAAATAAATTGTCTACATTCACCTGACCACCACATCTTTCCCTTGAAATAGTGGCAATATGTTCAAGGTTCCATGTGGCAAGAGGTTTCATCACACACACTAAAGGAACAACTTCTGCGTGTTGCGAACCATCTTCTGGTTGGAATGCCCATCTGTCTTTCACATAATCCAGCCCGAAGTTTATTGCAAAAGTTCGTGCAAGTAGTGGAACAAGTGTTTTTTCTTGTAACTTAAAGTAATCATAAAGGAAATTTCACGTTTACAAATATAGAACCAAATGAAATGAGCTAAGAACGATTTTGCGGTTGGTTTATGTACGAAAAAGGTTGGGTTAAGAAGTGAATGTTTTCGCCCGAGCTTACATTGTACATTTAATAAAGCCAATATCTCAAAACCATTTCAACAATAAACAATTTCCCAAGGCCTGAATTTCCCTGTCGACAGAGTAGCAAAATACTTGAAAATATAACTATCTTAGTAGCAAATATGCTTTTGAAAATTATAAATTTCTCATTAGCCAGATGCTTTACCTGATACTTTAAAATTGGAGTATCTGATTTTCCATCTTTACCAACAGTAAGTCTTGTGGCAGCATATCTTAATGCTATTGTTAAGGACGCTTTTGATCCTCCCATGCACATCGATGCAATGCATATTCTTCCTGCATTTAATATATGCAACATTACAATTAGAACAAAATGCTGTTGCAGTACAAAATAAACAACTTCCCTTGAAAGCATATTCAAAACTGTTATGTTTCATACAGCAATATGACCAATAGTAGTTTCTGACTATAGCTTATCTTACACATTACCTGACAACAGTTGATCTGCAACAGTTAAAAATCGAGCCCGAGGTGATTTAATGCTTGATGTGAAAGTTCCATCTTCAGCAACATCCGAAAACCTAGAATATATAAACGGATTTGAAATTATTTGTTTGTATCTACTATTAGCATGGTGTTAATAAAATATAAGTAACAAAACAACTGGCATTTAAAATACCAAATACCTGTTGAGAAGATTCTCCCTGGGAACTCTAACATTATCAAAAAATAGCTTTGCATTGTCAACTCCATTCAGACCCATCTTGTATCCCATGTCTTCAACTCGTACATTGGGCATTACTTTCAAATTATCATCTCTTATTCGAACAAGAATTGCATGAATGCCATGATTCTCTCCATTCGTTTGAAGCTAAAGAACAGTAAATGAAATATTTATCTGATTTTTCCCAATTACAATTGATGGTGACCAATAACATGCAAATGATGGTTTAAAATGTCTACACACACAACTTTAATGGCAGAGTTTAAAACTATCCACGAGTTGCGCAAATTGTTAGCAGGCTCTAAAAATCCCTAATGTGAACAATGTTACAATTTTAATACTAGAGTGAAGAATGAATAGTAGTATTACCTGTGCAAACACAACAACATGCTTCGCATGAACAGCCCCATTCGTAATCCAGTATTTCTGAGCAAGTGCCGTTGGTGTGTTCACTATGAATTCTTTGGTACTCTGGAAACGATAGACTTTCAAAATGAAAATTTCATAAAAGAAGATTTACTGTATTCTTTCGCCAAACAAATGTAGTCGTCATGACAATGCAAATGAAAAATGAAGATTTTTTTGTTTGTTATAGATAGCGGGGAGCCAGGGACCATACAATGCGACCATACAGTCTTCAAAATCAATTGCCAATATATTCACTTTTAAATAAGTGGAGGTGTGCATGTTTTTCATTAATTAAACACTGATGGGCAATGTAACTTGGCTGTAGAAACCAACTAAGCAACAATTGATATTGAAAACTTCTTTTACAACTAAAATACAATCAATAGGTTTTTTAATTTTGAATTAGGTTTCTTTTACACTAAAATACACTGACAAAGTACGCATTGAAAAACGGGACTAGTGAGTCCATGTTAGACATGTTTTCATCGATATTTGAGTGGAATCATAACTCGTATTTTTCAACTAATTCTTCATATTCAGTATTTCAGATTCTATCGGTGGTATTTGAGATCAAAGTTTATAATAGAAAAAAAAAAAGATTTTAAACTGACTGATCATGCACAACCACAGAAAGTTTGCATACGGCTTAGTCGAAACTTCCTTCTACCTAGAGACGGCAGCTGGAGCCTAAAGGAGGCTCTGAGGTCATTTTTGAATGGTCAGGTAAAAATTCTGGTGAAAACTGTTCCAGTTAAAATTACTACTGATAGCTTTGAAGGTATCTACCGTTACTTCTTTCATCCAAAACTAACCTTGTCATACACAGCAGTTGTCTCCATTTCCACTGCATTGTTTCCATAACCTAGTTCAGTCAGTCCAAAGCATCCAATATCATGCAATGAGTCTATGCCTGTGATTGACATCAGAAGTTGAATTTAAAAACAATATTTAGTTGAACATAATCTTTGTTGAATTATGCTAAAGATTCAAAAAACATTAACAGAATTTGCCTATTGCCCAAATTTTTTTTTCACAGATGTAATTGGCACCAACAATAAGGCATTATCAAATTGCTGATTTACATTAGTCAAAAGATTGATTGAATAAATGAAACGTATGTATGACATTCCTTAGAAAATAAAAGTATTTTACAAAACGTACCAATATTATCAAGCAAGTAAAGCCACATTCTGTCTTTTAAAGGATTTATAGAAAAAAACAGCATTGTTGACTCGGGTATGTATACTCATAAAACAGATCTTTACCAGCAAGAAGTTTATCATGGTGTCGTTTTGTTCCCAATTTGAATACAGTTCCACCAAATAGATTAAACTGAACAGTCATTTTGGTTGTCATGCTCGGCTCAACAATAGCTGAAAGTTCATGGGCAGCAAATATTCGTCGTGGGTTATTTCCAAAATCCAATACTGAAATAAATCCACCCTAAATAAAAAGATGTCATACGGAATGTAACTATATTGTATGGATTGCCTGCATGTTTAACGATAGGGTAAGAAAACTGTTACTGCATCACCCCTAATATAAGAAACAGTTACACAAGAGCTTTGACTCAAAGAGCATTTTGCTTTGAACCAGATGTAAACAAAGCAAATATGAACTTATTTTCAAATCCAAGTGAACTGGTATATAATTGCAAGATTGTTATAACAAATTTCATACAGAATGTTCAAATAAAATGAGACAACTGTATCTTGGGACATACAGACATAATTAGAGATTTGTTATCTCTCCGTCACCATTATACACAATTGTATAGTCTACAATTTCACATAGACTTAGATTAGAATTCAAGGGCATCACTAGTATGCCATATCTAAAAGTAACATAGTAAACGAACATCACATATCCTCTGCAATTGATCAAGTGCAATTTCTCTTTCTTCCTCAAGTCGAATGTTGTATCTTGGCATCATTGATGGAACACTGAGAAATTTGCGAAACTCATTCCTCATTTCATGATTGTCATGATCTAACACAGTTGCAAGATCATCAATATTGAAATTGTGGTGATCATATTCCATCCACGCTTCCCTGGAAAAAGTAATTCCATGTCTGAATAGTTATGCCTGTATGCTAGGCAATACTACTGATACTTTACTGATATCCTGGACATACAGATATAGGAATATCTGACAAATTGACAATGATAGCAAATAATATCTGAATATTTCGTAAGCTGATGCAAATGCATGAACTAAGTTTTGTTACCGTACTGTATGTCATTATTGTTATAACATCTAACTTAATAATAACTTAACCCACAAATAATATTACTCAGACTCAGACTCAGCAGTCAGCACCGTCTGACGGTAGGGGTCTCATGAAGTACACGCCACATATACTTCTAGTTGGCCTGGCTCAACAATTTTTCAATATGTCATTTCTAATCCCCACCTGACTACGTCATCCGAAAATTACATCACTGCAAGGTCGCAGTAACGTAAACGGGTCTCATGTAGTTTCGAACTTAACATACTTCTAGTCAGCTAGTGCAGTAGTGGGTGTAGCATGACAATTTTGAATGTGTCAATCCTAACCCCCACCTGACTACACCAGCCAAAAATTACGTCACTACGACGTCACAGTGATGTAATAGAGCCCTTCAAACTATATGAACTGCCATCCAAGTCGCGCAGAACTTGCTATTCTCGAACAGCTTTTTCTCGCCGCAACGATCCCAATAGGAGAGAGATTGATAACCTCAGTCAGTTTTTTATCGTCGGCGCCGATGCCATTTCAGGCGATCATACGTATATTTGGCAAGCTCTATGACGTGATTGTGATGTCGTAGTGATGTAATTTTTGGATGGCGTAGTCAGATGGGGGTTAGGATTGACATCATATCAAAAAAATGTTATGCTACGCCTACTAGAAGTATGTTAGGTACAAAACTACATGAGACCCATTCGGCCCTCCAAAGTATACGGTTGGTCGCGCAGACAATCATCCAAAATCGAGCAAGCTTTTTCTCTCGTTTTCTCGTTGAAACAATACCGATAAGAGAGAGATGGCTGACGTTAGTGAGTTCAATATAGTCGGCACAGATGCCACTTCGGACGATCGTAGCTATAGTTCAGCGAGCTCTATGACACGACTTTGACGTCACAGTGATGTAATTTTTGGGTGACGTACTCAGGTGGGGGTTGGGAATATTATATTAATAAAATCGTTATGCTACGCCAACTAGAAGTACTCGACGGCAGTACTTCAGGAGACCCAACGGTAGTACGATGAAATCAAGACAACCATAATACAGTACGGCACACTATACAAATTGGGTGACATTGTCCCGTTTCAGAGAAACCCATTTTACCGATGATCAGACACCCCTCCTTCGGGAGACGTCTGGACATTGTTGTCCCTCAATATTGGTAATAATACAGTATATTGAAGTTAGCAAAATAGTACAAAAATAGCGCAATCTAGTAACATCATCATTGAATTCCTTGGGAAAAAATAAGCCGATCTACCAAAGAAAAAAAAATTTTACCGTAGCATTCGAGAGTTTTTAGTAAAAAACGGCAATTTTGGTCATGTGACGGCCGCGATTAATTTAGAATAATATTGAGACAAGCAATCGAGCATGGCGCGATATGAAGCATTTGACGTGGTCCCAGATGCCCCTCGTTTGTAAGACACTTAGAGTGTTGGTTTTATTGAGCCAAATAGAGGGAAATTCTTGGAATCTGGATAGTGTGCTGTATTAATAGTATAACTGATTAATTAATTGATAATACAATAAATTAATCTACACAGTACCTCAAGGCTATTGGGGGCATGGTATTGCTAACAGCAGTTGAATATAAGCATTTCTTTTTTGTCTTTTCAAAGTAAATGGTGTTATTTATGACCGGGTTTCGCGACACCAATGCTCTGATCCCGTGCTTATGAGCTCTTATTATGCACAAACGCAACATGTTTTCAGTAAAAATCAAATTACAGTACAATACACCTGAAAAAATAACAAATTGTACAAACCAAAATACATAAATAGGCTAACCCAATTCAGCAATTACAGAACGCCAATAATAACGGTACCGGTATAGAAGTACAAGTAATGGTAGCTGGAGCAGCACCTGTACCGGTACCGGTACCGTTCCGGACGACTCGACTACCAACTACAGAGAGGGATGGAAAGTTATCCATCTTGTCGCATTTTCTACGTCGACGTTTTATCAGTAGTTTCACCACCCACACTAAAAAAGCACTCATGACGTACGGTACCGTAGGATAGGATAGGATTTACATATTTACCCCGGGGGAGAGGAAAGCCGATAAGATGGCTTATCCATATGGCGAACCACGGCCTCTCGTCCGGTTACCATTCCAAGTCGGGTATTGGATTAGTTTTACTCAACGACTAACATACCGTTTTACTCAACGACTTACTGTATTATTTGTTTTCGGAAATAGGTTATACCAAAGCGTATATATGATATGGCTGGTTACCGGTATACCCATTGAGGACACCTCAATGGTTATAGGCCTACCGGTAAATGAAGAAATTGCATAAAGTTACCGGTACCGGACATTCATAACCTTTGACCTGTTGCAACTTGATGCCAAAGAGGTGACGAGTGACGACTGCGATTTTTTGCTCTGAACGATAGGATAGGATAGGATTTACATATTTATCCCGGGGAAGAGGAAAGCCGATAAGACGGCTTATCCATATGGCAAACCACGGCCTCTCGTCCGGTTACCATTCCAAGTCGGGTATGGGATTAGTTTTACTCTATTGTTTGTTTTCGGAAGCATGGACTTGGTGGTGGAGGAAGCCATAACCGACCAGCGGTTACGTGAACCACCCAACGACGGCGAGGAGTCCAGCAATCCTCTCGCACATAACCATCCCTGCATGGGATTCGAACCTGCGAACCCACGCAGAGTGATTAGAGGTGCGGTGGCGAGCGTATTCCTAACGCTTAGCCCGTTGAGCCACACCACCGCGTCGCGATGACGCGACTAGGTTTGACTTTCAATGTTTCTTATGATACTGGAATGTCACGGTGTTTCGTAGCGGGGACTAGAAGATACTATTTGAAAAACGAAATGTCTTCTACGCTCGCCACCGCATCTCCGATTACCCTTCGCCGGATCGCAGGTTCGAACCATTGCGGGGATGATCATGTGCGAGAGGATTGCTGGACTCCTCGTCGCCGTAGGGTGGTTCAAGTAATTGTGTAACATGAGCAAAATATATGACTTATACACATGAAAATGCCAATTTAAAAATATTAATGTGTTTTCTTGCCATTGGGCCCTGAAAAGATCGAAATTAGGGACACCCATAACCTTTGACCTGTTGCGACTTCCGCATTCACCGATGCAAAATGAGGTGACGCCTGTAATTTCCCGCTCTGAACGTTACCGCGCCCAGGCCTGACTTGCAATGTTTCTTATAAATAGAACGCAATGTAAGGGTGTTTCGTTGCCGGATTTATAGAAATACTGTTTTCAGATGCGTATTTTAGTAAAAATAACGTGCACAAGTATAATGTACCGTAGGCCTCCATATGGAAATACCTGAACGGGAATTACGGGATGCCATATTGATCTTCCGATCAATACCTTGGATAATATTGATACAGGTAGCTCATAAAGTATGCTACAAGAAGAGTATTCTTTTCTTAAATTATAAGGTAAGATTCGATGAGTTTTCATTATTGTTTATAAGTAATAACACTACCGGTATGCCTAGATAAAAACTGTGCTCACAAACAATTAGTCTACAGACTTGTTTAATTAAGTGTGACGACCCTTATTTTATCTGTTAAATGATGTCGTGTGATATTGTTTTCACTTTGGCCTAATGGCTGGGATATGGACACGATGGATAGCCGATTAGGCATTTGCATGGTAGGCAATGCCCTGAGTCATTCATTAGAATTGCCTGTGGATGAGCGTGAATGTTTTGGGTAGATCGTACGTCATTTTGATAAGAATTTTGAAGTTGAAGGTGGGATTGAAGCGCTTCGAGCCGTTTTTAGTCAGCGCGTGAAGTTGGTAAGGGAAACCTATAATGAATTTGGTGTTGCATTGAGACAGCTTGCTAGGCGAGCTCATCCATACTTGAGACCCGCTGACCGAGATGACTTGACAAAATCGCAATTTTTGCGAGGATTAGACGACAAAGTTTGTTCGCACATTGATCTTTTGCAACCCGCCACATTGGAAGATGCAATGTCGTTGGCTACCAGATATCAATATTATGAGAAGTCATGGAAACCCGCAAAAGAGGTGATCAAACCAAGGGCTACTGTTGCGAAGATTTTTAGTGATAAGGCCAAGGTGACATTTGGAGCTGATATAATCAAGGAGATTTTAAACCGCCTAGCACAACTGGAGGCCTTAGTTGCAGAAACTTCAAGATCCCGCGTATCTCCGACTTCTGGTATCTTTTTTTCCAGATGCGGACAGGTAGCAGGTGGGGCATAGAATACGTGACTGTCGCAGTCCACAAGCTCTTACACCACCGTCCACGCCATTTCCCCGCTGTAAGCAAACGGCAAACGGGTCATTGGACTCGAGATTATCCAAACAACGCGAGTGGACCGACTTGTTTCCGATGCGGACAACCAAGGCATATTAGCCGAAACTATTCCCAGACCACTGAACAAAGACCAGTAGTTAATGCTTCCACTCCCAACCAGTCTTTAAACTCGGAACAGCAGAGATGAGGTCCGCATTCCCTGGTAACATGATTTTGGATGATGATATGGACCCACTTCTCTCGACTATGATTTTTTCTCTTACATGGACTAATGGATGGCATGTCAAGGCTTTGGTCAAGAACGTGCCTGTTTGTTTTTGATTGATACCGGTGCGGGTGTTTCGCTCATTGACACCGCTTTTTACTCGTTGCAGGAAGATTCGGACATTCCATACATGGCTGGGAAGCCATGGGATGGCCCTAGGACTCCATGGAGCCGTTACATTTTGATGGAGCCGGAGTTGGAGCCAAGCTTTTCATAACAGATGGAGCCGGAGCTGGAGCTACAAAAATTTAATGGCTCTAGGCTCCAGCTCTTAAATATCTCCTTTTTTGTTTTCCAAATTTATAATTTTTTTTCTGATAGCGTTACAAATGATAAAATTTTTCCTTTACAGCTTATAATTCATTTTAAAAATTTTAGTTCCCAATATTATTTAAAAAGTTCCCAGTTATTCTGTATGTTCGAAAGTTCAGTATCAAAATGAGAAGCGGAAGCTTTTTACTAGCTTATATCAAAATTTTGATTCTCATTTCCCCTAAGCTGCAATTTTCATGATTGTGGTCAAGCTTGAAAACCCTAATGGCCAGGGATTTACAAAGAAGTGATTTTGGAATTTCCGTGTAACATATTATGATTTTTTCAAAAACAAAGTTCATAGTGTTTCCTGTTTCATTTTAGTATCTTATAATAACTCTCCAATGTGGAAATTCGGCTTGCGAATTGACTCCTCTATATATCTTTAACATCTCATCGCTGATAATTATGAATCTGCCTCGATTCTAGAACCAACTTTTGGCCTGATTTGGGAGGGGGGACGGCGTCTTATTGGGTGACGATAGTTATTTTCATTATTTTGGGTCTGCTTTTCATTTGGGACCATAAACAACTGCCTTCCCGTCAGGCCAGTTTAAATTAATTGGCTTTCACGCTGTGTGTATCTGGAATATCAACGCTTTTATTATCATATTTTAAGTTGCCCGAATTTGTGTATGTATCATGGTTGAAGGGCAATTGCCGTTACTATCACATGTGCGTTGCATTTGGTAAAAAACGTCAATTGTTTTCGTCGCCATAAACATTAGGCCATAACATCTTTTATTTCAGTGACTATTTTCCCTTAATCACAATTTCTCAAGACATATGTTTTGTGTCGCGCACCATATTTGTGAGAGAACGAGTTATTACATAATCATCGGTGAAAAAATTCTAAGTTAAATAAAGAAGTGAATACACAAACCAAATTTTCCTGATTAAAAAGCGAAATTATAAAATAATAAACAGAAAACACCATAAGTTTTGCTTTAGAATGGCCCACGACAGATTTTATTCGGCAGGCATGATCGCCAGTTATGTTGAACACAATTAAATTGAAATAGAAAGACTGTTATTATGGGTTAAATACTATGTGGTAGAAAAAGTCATTATGAGCTATTTTACCGAGAGATACCGATTTTCCTGCCCGTCTTATTGTGGGGTGATATGTAAAACCCTTATATGCTTGGTAGACCAATTCGCTTGGAAATACAGCATATAATAACTCTCAATGGATTCACAAATTACCGGTACATGCAGGAACAAAAAGGAATTATCATGACACCGACGGGTGTTTACAGCCTAAATAACATGCCACACTTAGAAAACAATTAGCAAAAGGCGTTATTGGGCTGCACTACTGATAATGGCTATGGAGCCGGAGCTGGAGCCCAGCTCCTGCATAAAAAAAATGAAGCTCTGGAGTTGAAGCCAAAGTTTGAATCGACTGCGACTCCGGACCTGGAGCCATCATGATTTCGAACCAGCTACCCAGCCCTGATTCCAGAACTGCATTCTTTTCAAGTACCACTGCGTACTGCCAGTGGCGAGTCATTAGTGTCTCATCGTGCACTTGATGTCAACCTGACGATTGAAAGCTGGTCTGTGGAGCATACCGTTGTTGTTGCTGATCTAGGGTCACGGATGGGCATTCTAGATATGGACTATCTTGGCAAATGGGACTGTGTTCTGTATCCCTCGTCGGGTCGCTTGGTTCTTGAGGGATACGATGTTACTGTGCAGCACCAAACATCGGTTCCTTGCTGTCGTGTGACTGTAGAGGAGGATGTGGTTATACCGGCTCGCTCTGGAATTGTTGTACTCGCTCAGCTATAACAGCCTTGGCCCGTCCAAAGACCTAACATAGTAGTCGTTAATGAGCCAGTGGAGGTATGCAGCATCAATTTGGTCGCTTCGCTGACGTTGGTTGACCCATCTAAGAAGGAGGTACC